TTCTTTGGTGGGAGCAACCATCTTGGCATGATGTCACACAGGGGAGGGGGCAAGGCACCATAGGAAGAGGGCAGCTCATACATAATAGCTGCTGAGGTAGTGGAAGACCTATCATTATGCATGCCAGACAAGTGGTCTACTATTGAACTACACACCGCAGTCCTCTGCTGGATTATTCTGAAGCGAATTACAGAGATCAGATCACTTTGTCCATAATATTTCCATACATATCTCAAAAAAATAAAAGCTCTTTTTCTAACATACAGCACTTGGCAAGACAGATGCTGCTACTGAAGAGTGCAAAGGTCAGCTGCCCCGGCTGACTGGTGACCCCTCCTTAGCCCAACCCACCTCACACCCTGATGGGGAAAGGAAGAAAAGCCAGAGGAGCTGGCTGCCTGGGCTGACTTGGCCAGCCAGCCTGCCGCATAGATTGCAGGAAGTTCTGCTCAGGCACGTGGCCTGCAACAACTCTTTGGGAAACCTGTGGTGGGAACGGGAGGCTCTAGAGGACGCATTGTTGCTGTGAGGGGGGCCCGAGGATGAGGCTGCTCATGTGGCTGATTTTCCTGGCCCTCTGGGGAGTCGCCAGTGCTGAACCAGGTAGGGTGGCAGGGCTACCTGGGATGTCTTTGTTTTGTGCTATGATCTCTGGTAGGGATTGCTGCAAGCTGCTCACAGAAAGCTGAAAGTGCTGCTGAAAATAGCAAGGCAGGGGAACAGGGAACTGGGAACCGGGAGTTAGCCAGGCAACCATGACCACAAAGGGTGCTGTTTGAGCCTGAAAACTGAAAGTAAAAACTGAAAGCGGGCAGGACACTGGCTTGTCCAAGGGCTTGGTACACAAAGCCAGCCAGTTTGTAGAGATAGTGAGTGGCAGGAAAGATTCATAGACTCATTTAGAAAAGCATTGATTGAAGGTTGAGGGTACAGCTTAGTGGTATTAGTGATAAACCACATGAAGCCCTGAATTTGATCACCAGTACTCCCCCCGCTCCACAAATTGGTTAGGAGTCTTCTCTGTACCGCACATTATTCTAGCACTCAGGAAGAAGGAAGAGAAGAAAACAAAGTCCTGGTCCTTATGGAGCATTCCTTCAGCCCAGGAGAAACAAATTTAAAAAGGTAAATAAGTGAACTATATAGTATTGCAGGAGAGAAGTGTTGCAGAAAATAAGAAAATAGAACAGGGAAATAGGGAGTGTGGGGAGCAAGGCACCTACTGGGTGGCCAGAGAAGAGCTAGGTGACATTTGAGTAAGTTGTAAGGTGGTGAGGGAGAGAGCCTTGTGGATGTCAGGAGAACATTCCACAAGAAGATAGAAGGGGCATGAGCCCCGCAGTGGGCACGGAAGGGTGCATGTGAGCAGCAAGGGAGCTGGTGTGGCTGGAGCAGAGTGGGCAAGAGGATGGGAGGGGGAAGGCGGCAGGACAGGGGGTGGGGTGGCTCCAGCTCACTGGTAGCGCAGGCTGCTGAAATGGGAACATCATTAGTGGCTTTTAGGCAGAGTCATAATGTGATCTGACTTGAGCTGCTGCATTGAGAAGAGTCATAAGGGGATCAAGAGAGGGTGACCAACTCCTCCAGGGTCACCTGGGACTTTCCGAGTTTTAGCTGTAAAACCCAGTACCTTGGGCTCTCCATCAGGCCCGGTGGACTGGGATATGTGGTCACCTTGGTAAAGGACAAGTGGCAAAACCAGTGAGGAGGCTACTGCTGTTGAGAGGAGGGAACTGGGAGCAGGGCAGTTGGAGCAGGGTTGCAGGAAATGCTCTGATCTGAACAAGGTCTGTGGACTGATGAGGCTGTTAGGAAAGGAGGAATCAGCATGAGTCCAAGGTTTGCAGTTTCAGCAACTAGGACACGGCTGTCCTTTGCTGAGGTGGGAGAAGGGGCCGAGTGCTTTTGGCTGTAGTCTAGAGCGTCAGTCGCCCCTCAGAAGCTCTTCTGATCAGTCCCCTTTCTCAGACACTACCAAGGGCAAAGTACTCTGCTGGTACAGCTGGGCATCCCTGAAGCCAGGAGCCCAGAACAGAATGCCTGGGAAGGTCTCAGTCCCAGAACCTGTGACTTAAAGGTGGAGGTTACCTCTAGGACAAGCCCTGAGAGGGCTGTGCCAGTCCCTGTGAGGGTGACTGGCTCAGAGGAGTCTGAGAACAGAAGCCCTATGCCACCCTGGAGACAGACACCCCAGGGTCCTGGCATAGCCAGTCTGGCTGGTGGCTTGGGAATGACTGAAAGAATCTTCCAGTCCCTTGTGTTTCATTTAAAAATATGTTTTCTTAGAAATCCAAATGCCAATGGGTAGCCCCATGCTGGCTCAGAGTCTCAGTGGTTAAACAGAATCAGCCTTCTCCCCAATACAAAAAGATGTTCATTGCAGCATTACTTAATGAAAAATTGCTAACAAGAATGGAGGAGCTGAACAGACTATAGTATAACCATCTGGTGGAACAGTTTCAAGACTTTGTTTCAATACAGCCAACTTAAAAACAATAAGTACATTTTCTAAGTACTTACTATGTGCCCGGCACTGCTAAAATTTCTGCACAAATCATTTTTATGTAGCACTTTTACATCAGCCTTATAAGGTACTGTCATTCCCATTTTATAGACTGAACTTCAAGGAAGTAACTAGCTCAAGGTTACACATCTGGTAAGTGTCTGAGGCTGGACAGGAACCCAAGCTGTCTAAATACACTTTGTTTATGATATAATGCTGTTAAAAACAAATCACTAAGGAAAATAGCAAGAAGAGTTTATACCTATTTATTCAGCACTCACAATGGGCCAGATTCAGTTCTAAGTGGTTGATATATGCTGTCCTTTTAAAACTTGTTTTAAAAAATGTAAGGGAAACAAGTCCTTTATTTTGAGATAAGGTCTTCCTGTATTGCCCATGCTAGTCTTGGACTCTTTCCAGCTCAGTTCCATGAATACCTGTGACTACTGGGATGTGCTACCACTCCTAGTTTCATTTGATTCAACAGCCCTTGTAAAGTAGGCACTGTTGTCATCATGTCCATTTTCCAGATGAGGCAAATGAGGCTCAAGGCACAAACATCTGCCCAAGACCCAGCAGTGAGGAATGACACGACAAAGTTTGTGCTCAGCTGCTGTAAGCCTTGAGCTCTCCCATGTGCCCTCAGGATGGTAGGCTTTATAGATACTATCTTTTCTCCAGACCTGCTGGAATGTACATCTCATATGTATAATTTTAAAACAAAGCATTTAAAAAGCATGCCATAGCACTTAGAAGTTTTTTCAGATCCCAGGTCTTCCAGAAGTGCAGACACCAATCAGACAGCAGCTATCCCTGCTTTGCATAAAGCTTCCTTGTACCTCCACCTTCCTAAGTTTTTTTTTTTTTTTTTTGGTACCGGGGATCAAACTCAGGTCTTTGGCTTTCGAGGCAGGTGGCAGAACCACTGAGCTAAATCCCCAGCCCAACCTCCACCTTCCTTAGCCAAGAGTTTAGGTGGGGCGCCAACTTCCTGGCTTCTCCTCCCACACAAACTCTCTACAACACTCTCCACCTATCCCTCAGCTTTAAATATCAGAGAAACAGACAGGTTCTTCCAGTGGGTCAGCATGGTAGGAAAACTGTCTCCCAGGGCTGGGCCAGGGCTGAGGGAGCAGGAACGGCCAGGAGAGGGGAACACGAGTTCACCATAGTGTTTGGCCCGAGCCTCAGCTTCTTCTCTGTACAGTGGGAGTGATGATGTCACTACTCCTTGCCTCCATAACACCTAACTTGGGTCAGGTTCATGGTCCTGGGACTGGGAAAGCTGAGACAGGAGGATTACAAACTGGGGGCCAGCCTGGACTGTAAAGTGAGACCCTGCCTCAAAACAAACAAACAAGCTCCTAACTTGGGGCACTGCTGTGAGGGGGCCAATCCTGTGCTTAGCAGTACATACTGGGCTTAACAAAGGAACCCTATGTCTTTGGGAGCCTCTTAGTTCGAAGAAGAGGAACTAAGTCAAGGTACTCTGTGATCCTCACTGAGCATAAATAGCAAAAGACCAACATAGGGAAAAGCAGATGGCTTTGTGGTATGGGTAAAACACAATGACAGACAGGAGTCTCAGCATTGCAAGGAGTAAGATGCAGGAGGAGCTAGAGGCCTGAGAGGAGAAGACAAAATAATCTGAAGCCCAACAGGTGGAGCAGCCCAAGGAATGAGCCCAGGTTGGCTTGCTCTCCCCCCACCCCATGCTCATAAAAGAGAACTTTTAGCCACATAACCACATAACCATCTTTGTTGTGGGCATCTCACCTTCACTTTACAGATGAGGAAGCTGAGGCTTAGCCAGGGAAGTTCCTTGCTCAAGCTGCAATTGCCAGCCAGTTGTGGTGGTGCATGTCTGTAATCCCAGCACTCGGGGAGGCTGAGGAAGGAGGATCGCTGCAAGTTTGAGGCCAGCCTGGGTTACATAGTGAATTCAAGGCCAGCCTAAACTAATAGTGAGACACTGCCTCCCCCAACCTAGCGGCAATTGCCTGTGTGGAGTAGCTGCTACTCAGAAGATTTCCCTGAGGCCAAAATTCATACATGTCCTTTCAAAAGCAATGCACTGCTTCAAGCCAGAAAACCTAGGTCATCTGTTGGTTCTGCCTTTGAATTCTGATATGGCCCTGAGCCTTTCACTGTCTAGAAAGTAGACCATAGGAGATGAGATAAATGCTTGTGACATGATAGTGGTAATGTGATAATTCAGGGAGATCAGGCATGTACACAGTAAAATGCTATAAAAGCTTAAGGGAGTTTGATCCCTGGTACAAAAAAAAAACCTTAAGGGACAAATACATATGGGTCTATAGCTCTCCAAGGTCACATTGCCTATTAGTGAGTGACAGAGTAAAGTGCACTGTGATTATTTCTGCTCTGGCATGATGTGAATCCCAGGTCTGCCACTGGAAAATGAGCACCCTGGAGAATGTATGTGCTGCGCTGGGGCAGGGAGCAGGTTGCCAAGAGACCAAAGAAAACACCCAAGAGTGGCTTGTGAGAGATGAGGTTTATGAAGACTTACTAACAAGGAAGGATAGAGTTCATTGTGACTTACTAACAATGGAGGTGCCTGCAAGAAGCATGCACGAGTCCCAAAGTGCCTCTCAGAAAATCCCACGGAGAGGGGCTGGGGATTTAGCTCAGTGGTTCCGCTGCCTGCCTCTTGCAAGTGCTAGGTCCCAAGTTCGGTCCTGGTACCCTTCCCAAAAAAAGAAAATCCCACGGAGGGTGAGTACTGAACAACAGCACCACAGGGCAAATCTCACCAAGTGTGTGAACTGGAAACAGCACTGTTCGGCAGAATCTCTGGGGGACACTTACTGTACAACAGCATCGCTCAGCAAGGCCACGAAGGTGGACACTGAACAACAGCACCTCTCAGAAGGTGCAGTGATGATGGGCTGGGCAAGTATTCGCCAGGAAGTGGAGGGTCCAGCGATTCAGTGGTGCTCTGTTCCGCACTCGGTTATTGGAGGGAGGAGTTTATAAATTAAACAGAGCAGTGCATCATTCGCTGTTTCCCTGTGTGACCAGCAGTCTGAGGAACAGATGACTTAGCATACAGGCAGGAAGGCAGCTCCTCCAGATAACACCAGCTCACCCAGTTCCTGGCGTTCCTACTTGTCCAAACGTCCTGGTTCTGTCCACTCACAGTGTACCCTGGACTTGGCAAGAGCCTTGGGAACACAAAAGGAGAATGGTACTAAATGCCCTCGTGTTTTTTAGGGATGATATAAAGTATTTTCCAATGTTGTGATGCTGCACAGATACAGTGCTTGGTGCGGTGTTTGGCATTCAGTAGGTGCTGAATAAATGACAGATGCCTCCTTCTTTTCTCTGACCATCCACAAGCTTCCCTCTAGCCACCGTAAGTCTTCCTTATGTCCTAGGAATGACTTTTGGGAGTTTCCCCAAACACAAATCATATTAAATGATCCCATACCATATATGGTTTTAATGAATGTTTAAGTGTTATTTCTAAATGAATTCTTTTTTTTTGTACCGGGATCGAACTCAGGTTCTTTTTGGGGGGGGGGTACTGGGGATTGAACTTGGGACCTTGTGCTTTCGAGGCAGGTGGCAGAACCACTGAGCTAAATCCCCGGCCCCAAACTCAGGCTCTTGTGCTTATGCATCAGGCAGCAAAACCACTGAGCTAAATCCCTGGCAAATGAATTCTTGATTTTCATGGCATAGTTTCTTTCCTGGTCTTTCGGTTTTGTTTTGTTTTTTTGATACCAGGGATCAAACTCAGGACCTTGTGCTTGTGAGGCAGGTGGTGGCACCACTAAGCTAAATTCCTGGCCCATCTTTCCTGCTCTTTTGGAGTTGATGTATTTTTTTTTTTTTTCAGGTCTTGGGTATTTTTGTAGGTTTGGCAAAGCTACTAGGCTCTGCCTTGTGGCTGTCATCACCAATGAAAAAAGGGATCTGGAGGCTTCCTATGTTGAAGGAGAAGGAGGGCAAGGAGAAGTTTTGATCTAAAAAGTAGAGTGCCCCATTTCCACAGCCTGCCTGTGTCGCCTGACCCAGGGGTGGTCGCAGGTCCCAGTCTGCTATGTTGGGACTTTTCCCTACAGGCCATTTCTCAGTCACTACCTTATTTGATGCTCTCAGAATGGGCCAGATGTCAATAACCTCAGGCCCAGTGAGGCCAATTGGCTTGGCCAAAGTCCCCTGGCCTGGATTAGAAACCAGATGGTCACCCCCCACCCAGGGTCCTGGTGCCTGGGACTTCTCTGGCATATGCTAGTCAGTGCTGAATTCCTTGGTGGAGGGCCTGGGTCCTTATCATCTGTGATCAATTCCATCGAAACCTGTGGCTCCATTCTCTCATGGACAACATACTTCTATTACAGCAGCCTCTTCCCCAACATTCAAGTAAACGGGCATGACACTATTGTGTCTCAGCTTTGCAGTCAGGGAAGTCAGGATCTAAGCCTCAGTTTCCTCATCTGTCAAGTGAGCATAAGAATTCCCACCTCAGCTGGGCACAGTGGCAAGTGCCTTGTAGTCCCATCTGTTTGGGAGGCTGAGACAGGAGGATTGCTTGACCCCAGGAGTTTGAGGACACCACGGGCAACACAATTAATCCTATATTAATAAAAGGGGGTGGTACAAAGGCTATAGCTCAGTGGTAGAGCTCTTACCTAGCATGCACAAGGCCCTGGGTTCTATCCCCACCACTGAAAAACAATCCCTACCTTGCAGAATGGCCAAAATGTTGAAGTAAGATAAGCAAATGAAAGCCCAGGTGCCTGCACAGGACTTCTTTAGTTGTCCTCCCCAAAGTGCGAGTACATACATACTGGCACACCTTCCACACTGTGGGCACTGTTCTAGGTGTTGACGACCCAGAGAAGAACAAGACAGGCTTTGTGCCCCAGTGAGCTGACATGATACACAGAAAGGATGATAAACCAACGAGATCATTTCATCTCCAAAGAACATGCAGCAAGGAGGCCATAATCAGTGACCAGTTGGGCCAGGGCAGGGCAGGCTTCTCTGAGTAGGTGCTATGAGGCTTCAATGAGAAGAGGCAAACAGCCACCTGATGAAGTGGGGAGGACCAGACAGGGCTGTAGGGGTGACAAGAAAGAGATCCTGAGGAGACTGAGTGTCAGGGGAGGTCAACAGTGAGGAGACTGGGGCCTGAGGAGGTGGAGCTGCCATGTTCTCTACTGTTCTTTCCACTATCCTGGCTGCTCCTGGAGTCGGGCCCTCTGGGACACACACACACAAACACACACACACACACACACACACGTCAGCAAGAAGTGCCAGGGAGGCGGACATAGTTTCAGTTCTACACACTGGCTAGAAACTGACCAGGAGTTTCTGGAATGGCAAAATGTTCGCTGCTGGCTGATGTCAAAATGCTCAGTTTGTGGTCAATTGAAAAACCACCTACTGGAGGCCGGGGTCTTTAGAGGAAGTGAGGGGACCACACACTGGAGAGATGGCAAAGGCCTGGCCATCCCAGCCTGAGGCTTGGGTGCAGGTACAAGCCACTCACAGCAGATGTTCAGGGGCCTGGCAGGCCTGCAAGCTCTGCCCACCTACTAAAAAGGGTGTTTTTCTCCTTTAGCAATCACATCTCCTGAGGAGAGGATCTGATCCCAATTCCCCATGTGATCTCAGGTGTGTTGCTCTCTGAACCTTAGTATTCTTATCTGTATCATAGGGATCATGATCAAAACCTCCAGGGCTGTGTTGAGCATGGCAGTATGATGCACATGGGAGAGGTAATGAAGTTTCAGATCCTTTCCTGAGACTGGGTTTAGGTCAGGAAAGGTGGGCAAGAACATTTGGGAGGAAGAGGATTGAGTATCAGGGGGCTATTCTGGGGCCACACTCAACACCCTGTGACTTGGGTGAGGCCTTGAACTCAACAGAATACGCCAAGACTGCCAGACCCAGCCTCAGCTTCCTGGGGTGATGGATGTTGACCAAGAGACCCAGGAAGTGGAGAAGGAAGTGAAAGCAATGGTAAAGGGTGAGGAAATCCCAAACTTCACCTTCTTAGTCAGACACAGGGTTCTGAGGGCAGAGGCCATAACCAGTGATTGAACCTGCTTGTGCTGGGCGCCATGGTGGGTAATCTCGACAAACCCGCTCCATCTTGCCTGCTCCTTTGGGTCTCTTTCCCTCTGTTTCACCAAGAGGTGTTTGACATTTCAGCTTCCCTGCTTTGGAGTTGAGTCCAAATTTTGGTCAACTATGTTAGCAAACAGGGCCATTCCCAGCTGCTCCAGCTGTCGCCCTGAATCCAGACCCACTAGCAGGGACACCCACATGAGAAACTCAGCTCCTATTGGAAATTACACTGGTCTAGTTCTCGGAGTTCTCATTTGTTTTTCTTTTTTGAGACAGGGTCTCACTATGCAGTTCAGGCTGGCCTTGAACTCACTGTATAGCCCAAGCTAGCTTTGAACTCATGGGAATCCTTCTGCCTCAGCCTCCTGAGTTCTGGGACTACAGGCGTGTGCCACCATATTTTTGCTGGTATTCATTAGCAAGACCTAGCTCATTTAGGAGTCTGATTCTGATCTCCTTCCAGATCAGATTTTTGTATGCATTTCACTGGCATGTGACAGGATCTGGCTCTAGTAATGGACTCAGGGAGTGACTTAGCCTCCCCAAGGTTCATATGTGGTCCCAGAGCCTCAGCATTTAACTGCTAGACTCTGTCACCTTTGCTTGAAAGCCCATGCCCTGCTCAGAGTGCCTTGAGGGTCATGTGGCCCAATCTCTTATTCTGCTGCTGTGGATGCTGGGGTGTGTGATGAGGTGCACCCTGTCCTCTGCTCTGCTCAGGTCCGTCCTGAGCAGAACCAGGCTTTCGGCTCTCTTTCCTGAACCTGGGCTCCTAGAGGAGACCTCCAGTGACCTGTGCAACACCCCTGCCCCCACAGAGCCCCTCCTCATCCAGGCTTGGGGGGAACCAGCACTGAAGGAGGGTCTCTTCCCCCCTGCAGGGAAGTTCTGGCACATCTCTGACCTGCACCTGGACCCCAACTACACAGTATCCCAAGACCCCCATAAGGTGTGCCCCTCAGCTGGCGACCAGCTAGTGTACAACGCGGGCCCCTGGGGTGACTACCTCTGTGACTCTCCGTGGGCCCTCATCAACTCTTCCATCTATGCCATGAAGGAGATCGAGCCGAAGCCAGACTTCATTCTCTGGACGGGGTAAGAGCAGTCATGGTGGCAGCTCCCCTTCACTGGGCACCTGTACCCTCTTCTTCTCCTTTAATCCTCCCATCAGCCCTGTTTTAAGGACTTGTGTAACTTGCCAAGGGACCTTGGCTGATTCCAAAGACTGCCCACAACCTCCAGGACCCTACCTCTGAAAACATAGCTCTCACTGAGGTTGGGGATGTAGGCGTGGCCCTCCTGGACACCTGGAGAAGCCCCTGGGTTTAAGCTGGGGATGGATACTAGAGCCACTGCCCCTGGGGTTTAGAGATGACGACTGTCCTGATCAGCTACTAGCCACCCCTGGGCTGCCCAGTGGCCCTGAAAAGCACTCTCTGATCAGGGCAGTGACTCAATCTCTGCTTCTCCTCCAAGAACTCTGCTGTAAGGCCTTCATCTTCCCTGGGAACTTGCCTTCCTCACCACTCCAGGTTCCCTGGTCCCTCATGCACTCTCACCTGGCAGGTCAACCTGGCACATGCTCAGCCCTGGGGAGGCACTGGGGAACTGAGATGGTGGAGAGGCCAATTTGTGGGTGACACAGATAGGCCCATTGACCATCACATTCCAGGGAGGAGAGAGTGCTCCCTGGGGGACATGGAGGCTTCACAGGCCACTTGACCCTAGGACTTCCTGGAAGTGGTGAACCAGGGGGCTGGTGAGAAAGGCTGAAGGAGCTTGGACTTGGTGCTTCCTCTGCCAGCCTCAACTGATACTTCTGGAAGGCAGGGTGAAACCCATGGTACCCCTAGCTGTCTCTCACTGTGATATGCAAGAATGACCCTCAGATGGACCCTGTCTTAGTTACTCTTTCATCGCTGGGACAAAATATCTGACATCCGCAAGTTAAAAGAGACGTTTATTTCATTTCACAGTTTGTAGAAATTTTAGTCCATAATTGGCTGGCTCCAAGGCAGGGTGGCAAGCAGAGGGGCATCCAGAGGAGAAACAGTCCATGGCAGGGTAAGCAGGAAGGCAGCAAGCAGCAGCAGCATCAAGTCTCCCTTTCTCCTTTATCCCATCCAGGCTTCAAACTTATTGGACCCAGGGCGGGCAGTGTCATCCACACATAGAACTATGCTAAACCAATTTAGTTGTCACACATCCACAATCCCGGTATCACACACCCTAGGTTCAGCCACCTCTGGAAAGTCCCATCTAGGAGCACATGAGGCTTTGAGGGGACATCTAGATACAAGCCATAACAGACACTGTGGTTGGAAGGGAGAAGGGAAAGGCTAGACACTTAAGAAATGTGACAGGGCTGGGGATTTAGCTCAGTGGTTTCACCGCTTGCTGCGCAAGTGCAAGGACCCGAGTTCGATCCCTGGTACCAAAAAAAAAGAAAAGAAAAAAAAAAGAAATATGACAGTCTCAGGTGGGGCATGGACAGCCTTGGCTTTCTTGGGCCCAGGAATCAATCTAAAAAAAGGGTGAGCTTTATTTAGTCCATGACCTTGGACACCTGCTCCCTGGAGGGTTTTGGTGGGGAAACCTCTGATTTCTCTGAAGTTGAGTAGATAACATTCTGAAAGATGTGATTTCTCTGGGAAAGGATTTGGGGAATTCATGATTCTTTCATAGATGCACAGTTTTTCTGGGAACCCCCCGGGACTTTGCAGATTTGTATGGCATTCAGTGAGATCAATGATCTCTTGGGGCCTTTATAATTCTTCACTTATAAAGAAAGCTGACATTTCTGAGAGAGCTGCAATCCCTTTGAGGAAAATTTGAAGAAACTGGATGTGTTTATTTTGTCACACAGAATTAGAGCCAGGCGCATGCCTGTAATCCCAGCCCTCAGGAGGCTGGAGCAGGAGGCTGGAGCAGGAGGATCGCTGTGAATTCAAGGCTAGCCTGAACTACATAGCGAGACCCATTTTGTCTCCTGTCTTCTGGTTCCTGGTCTGTCACCAAGAAGTCATCGGGGCTAAACAGCTCTTCTCTCAGCCCTAAGGAGGGTATCAGAGATGTGCCCTGGGGCCAGGATGACTGCATTCAAATCTTGGCCCCACTTCTTTCTAGCTGTGTACACTTAAGTACAATTCCTAACTTTATTGTGTCTTCCTTATCTGTCAAAGAAATAGGAGTGTCACTCAATGGTGGAACACTTGCCTAGTACGCATGAGACTCTGGGTTTAATCCCTAGTATGACTGAAAAAAGAAAATTTATTTAGTGCACAGTTCTAGAGATTCAAGGGCATAGTGCTGGCATGTGCTCAGGTCTGGTGAGGGACTGCTGGCCACATCCCAACATGACAGGTGTCATCAGAGTAGGAATGATGTGAGAGGGACAAAGCAGTCACCATGGCAAGGGAGGAATCAGGAGACTTAGGGCCCAGGTTCACTCTTCTAACAAGCCACTCTTGTGGGAACTAGCCAGGATCCTCGGGAAATGACCACAATCCCTCCTGAGAGCACAGCCCATGGCCTAGGTACCTCACTCTGGGTCCCACTGTTTTTTTTGGTACCAGGGATCAAACTCAGGACCTTGTGCTTGTGAGGCAGGTGTCAGCACCACTGAGCTAAATCCCCGGTCCTGAGTTTGCACTCTTTAAGCTTCCTCTGCCTCCCAGCATCACCACTCTGGGGCCCAAGTTTCCAGTACATGAACCTCAGGGGGCAGACACATTCATCCAAACCATGGCAGCTATGACACAAAGCAGGCCAGCATGAGCTCTCAGTAGCCATGCTAGTCAGGTGTTAAAAGTTCCTGTTAACCACATAGCAGTTTACCCTGTGAACCACTTAGGCCACGCATTTATGTGTGGACCATCCTGAGTGTCACTTGGGCAGGAGTCATTTCAACTAGTTGATTCTTGTATTGAATAAATTTGATACAATTGTTGTTTTTCTATTTCCTGTTATATTATCTTAAAAATTAATAAAAATATGCAATTTTTGGTCAACCCTGTATTTAAATAATTGGACTGGTAAGTGGTTAAACTAGTTACAGTCCCTGGGAAAGTACCTGGGTAGCAGCTGCCTCATTGAGTCTGGGCCAGCAGAGGCCTCAGGATTTAGTTTTTCTGGACTTCTGCCCATTCCTAAACCCCACTGCTGCCATTCTTCTCTTTCTCCTTCACCTTGCTGAGCACTTTTAGGTTGAGCACAAGAATTCAGGTCAGTTGTGTGGGGGCCAAAATGGTCCTGGGCCTGTCCTACGGAAGGTCTGAACCCTGTACTCTGAAGCCAGCTCGTCCCCTCTGAGGGAAAGGAGCAGATTGGAGAAATGGCCTCTGGACCCTGTGCTTCCTGAGGGCTTGCAGATGGAACTTGAACTCCAAAGCTTTGTTCCTTAAATGACAACAGTAATACAGATATAAACACATATCCAGCCATGATGGGCTTCAACCAAGAACCTGCACCATGCTGTTTGGACTTCCAGGCTCTAGAATGATGAGCTAAATAAACTTATTTTTTCTTTATAAAATAAAAATAATAATAATATCAATGACAACCTAATAGCTGCTATATATATATGCAGTTTTTCTTCTTTTTTGAAGTCTTACAAATACTTTATAAGTAGGTACCTATTATTCTCTATTTTGCACATGAGGTAATAGTGGCTCACAGAGGTTAACAACCAGCCCAGTGACCCATAGCTGGCAGATTTCAGTTTGAACTCTGTCCTGTCTGTCTCCATAGCAGCCTGGCCATTCCCCTCACAACCTCCCATGCCCAGTTCCACAGCTTTCTTCTCCTTACAGAGCAGTCCCTTCTTCTTCTTGTGTCCCTTCCCGAGTTGCCTGCCCTCACCTGGCTTGGTGGTGTTTTGCAGTGACGATACGCCACATGTGCCCAACGAGAACCTGGGAGAGGCGGCAGTGCTGGAAATTGTGGGACGTCTGACCAGCCTCATCAGGGAGGTCTTTCCAGGTAAGTCTCTGCCATCGGACCTCAGGCGGTGCCTGGCTCAGGGGCACAGCAGCTGCAGGGAGACCATTGACAGTGATGACTCTGGGCCAGGTCCCACCTGCAAGGGATTAGCAAGTTCCTTGTCCTATGGAAAAACACAAGCTCCCAAATGCCTGGTCTTTCACTGCCCCTGCTTCTCCCTGGTTTTTATTTTTTTTTCTGGTACTGGGGATCGAACTCAGGACCCTGAGCTTGCCAGACAGGCTCAGTGCCACTGAGCACCTGGCCTTGCTTCTCCCTGTTGAACACCAAGCTGGCTCAGAAATGCTTCTTGGGGGTGTCCTGTCATGCACAGGTGTCTTGGTAAGTTTCACTCAGGTGCACACACAGCCTCTGTGTCCTGCTCTGGCACTGGTGTTGGTGTCTGCTGTTCTGAAGCCATTCTAGCTCCAGGGCCTCTGGGAGATTCTGATTTCTAGCCAGGGTGCTGTTTCTTGAGGCTTCCAAGGCTTTCAAAGTGCAACTACTACTGTCTCTTCCCCTTAATATAAACCAACTCATGCGAAAAGATGCCTGGAGTCTTCCAGATTTTCTAAGGCAATGCAGCATGCCCCACTCAGCTAGGCCTGGTCTCACTGAAGTTCCTGGAAAGGTCACTACATAGGGCCAGTAGTAGGTATTATGATTCCTAATGTATGGCTGGGAACTATGGCCAGTCCCTTCCCAGGAGGCCTTCAAACTCAGACCCTAACTTCTTTTTTTTTTTTGGTACTGGGGATTGAACTCAGGTCTTTGTGCTTGCGAGGCAGGCAGCGGAACCACTGAGCTAAATCCCCGGCCCTCAGACCCAACTTTGAGCCCTTTCTTCTGCTCCACATGGGGCTTCTGGAATAAAAGTGAAATAATGGATAAGAAATTGCTTTATTAACTATGACTTAACACAAACATATAAATTATGAGATTTTATAGCCTATGACACATTGGCACACTTATAGAATTTCTTAATATCCATTGACTGTAAGATGCATCATTATTTTATCTATTGCTAAGAAAAAAATGCTGTCAGTTCCACAATGACACAATGCTTTCTCATGACCATACTAGAAAGACACGTCTCACTTTTAGAGATGTTAAAACGAGACCAAATGGGAAGAGATGAAATGAGGCATTATTATTATTATTATTTTTTTGGTATCAGGGATCGAACTCGGGTCCTTGCGCTTTCGCAGCAGACGGCAAAACCACTGAGCTAAATCCCCGGCTCAATGAGGCATTATCTTTATTTGAGAATTACAACAACACAGGTCAAGCAGAACACTTTCTAATTTATAGATAAAGGAGAGAGAGAAAGAGAGAGAGAGAGGGAAGATAAGGAGAAGAAAGACTGCAAGTAGAGACTTTGGGTTCTACCACATCATGTGTTCTTCTGGCCATGTTCCACCGCCTAACCCACCAGTCCCTTTGCACACTGATCCTACCAGTCTAACATGATAGAGTGGCTGGGAATACAGATATACAAGTACCACCCCCCATCCCTGCTGCCCAAAAAACCCAACCCTAGTCTCAATTCTCACTCGCCCACTTACCCACATGCAACTTCTATTTTTTCCCTGTGAAAAAAATAAAACAATGGTACTTCCCCCTGGGTTGTTATGCTGGTGAAACAAGGTAATCCATTCATTTAGTCCTTCGACAAATATTTATTGAGCATCTACTATGGGTATGACACCAACTAGTGGTTAGGGACATGGCAATGGCATGAAGCTTATGGTTGTAAGGAGCCTGGCACATAATTAAAGTAAAAAACAAAAAAGGGCTTGGGAGGTGGGGAGTGATTCCCTCCTTCTCATTTGCCCTTGGTATTCCAGGGGTTGGTGCTTTTTCAGAATGGCTGCTGATATTTACTTTAGGGAGGTGAGGGTCTTCCAGGCAGTCTCAGTAAAGCATTCCACAGCCTCCTACTTTGGCAGTCTCAGATCTCCTAGGCAGAGCAAAGGACTTGTTAGATATTTCCCAACTGGGAGCTGGAGGCTCTGGCCTCCCTTGCTGGTTCAAGGTCATCACCTGAGATGTGCCAAGGTCACATGATAGCAAGGCTTGCTCTGAACACAAGAGGGTTTTTCTTTTTTCTTTGCATGAGAGATTTTTGTTCATTGTCAAATATTAATTGAACGCCTTTTATGTTCCAGACCCAGAGTCTGAAATAAAAGCAGGAATAAGCCTGTTCACAAGGAGGAGATGGGTCTGCAGGGCTCCCCACATCTCCTGGTCTCATTCCCAGGTCACTTCCTGGGGGGGGGTGCTCCCCTAGGCCCCACTCCCAGCCTCTGTTGCTCCCACAGCAAGTGGCCCTTTCCTTTCTGAGACAGCCCTCACACCTCGAATTACTCATTACCTGTCAGCCTACTGGACTGGGGGTTCTCTGGTTTTGTTCTCTTCCCTTTCCTTGGCCTTCTGCTGCTGGGACTCCTCACTGGCAAACTCAACCGGAAGCCCAAGACACAGAGCCTGTAGATTTAGTCTGAATGGATTGGCTTCCATTCAGCTGGAAGTCTGGTTTCCAGCTCTACACTGGCACACAATAAATGTTTAATAAAATGTTTATTGACTGCACTAATGAGATGAACTCCTGAGGGCTCCTGGAGTGAACCAGACCACTTCTCTAATAGTAAGATGGACCTGGAATGAACAAGAACAGGGAGCACTAAATTACCAAGTGGAGGATAATGATAATGAATGACTTAGAGCCTCTCATTTCTCCTTATCATCTGATGCCTCCTTTCTGAACAGGGAATTTTCTGCTGGGAATGGGGTTAGGGACCATGATCAGGCAACTCACTGCTTTTCCTTTCCAGGTCAACAGAGTTCAGCCAGACTCCATCAAATGTGGTTTCTGGTTATCTTTGTATTTTCCTCAACTGCTTTATCACTTCCGAATTCACTCAGATGGCCCCCGGCCAACTGAAAGTGACTAAGTCACCAAGGGCTCTCACATAGTTTCAACATATGTCTTCTCTTCCTCCCAGATACTAAAGTCTATGCTGCTATGGGAAATCATGACTTTCACCCTAAAAGCCAGTTCCCAGCAAAGAGCAACAATATCTACCATCAGGTAGCAGAACTGTGGAGACCCTGGCTTAATAATGAATCTGTCGCTCTCTTCAAAGAAGGTACTAACACCATTTGCTACTACAAGAAGCACTTACTGTACACCAGAGCCTGATCTAATTCAGCTTCACAACAACCCCTTGAAGCAGGAGTTGATTTTACCCCCATTTTACCAATTAGGAGGCTAAGGCTTGAGGAGTTCAAGTCATTTGGCCAAGGTCACACAGCTTAGCAAAGGTAGATTTAAGGGCAGAATCCAGCTGGCTGTTGATGCATGCCTGTAATCTCAACTACTTGGGAGGCTTAGGCAGAAAGATTATAAGTTTGTGGCCATCCTGGGTAGTTTAGTGAGACCCTGTCTCAAAATAAAATTTTTAAAAAGGCTGGGAATGTAACTTAGTGGTACAGCACTTGCCTAGCATGCATAAGATTTAGGTTTAATCCCCAGTACTAGGGAAAAAACAACATCAAAAAAGGAATAGAATCCAGGACAGACTCCAAAGGCCATGGTCTTAACCCCACAGGGTGAGGAGAAGTCGGTATCCACTCAGCATTTGCTGTGTGCTGGGCACCATCCTCAGCGTGATATCAGACTCTTCACAGGAAGCCAAAGAAGGATCTGGAAGCTTCAGCTCTCGTGGGTTTGAGGGTGACATTTGAGGGCTGGTGGACTGTCTGCTGAGCCTGAAGATGTTTAGCAGCATCCCCGGCCTCCACCTGCTAGATGCCAGGAACACTCCAGTTCTAACAACCCCAAATGTTGCCTGGGGGAAAAGTCTCCTGGCTGAGAACCCCTGGTCCAGAGACACAGCCAGCCCAAGGGGTCCCTGGCTCAGTTCTCTTCCCTTTCCTTGACCTTCTGATGCCAGGACTCCTCACTGGTCAAACTCAACTGAAAGCCCAAGACACAGAGTATGTAGATTTAGTCTGAGTGGATTGGCTTCTGGGGCTGAGTGGAGGATGGTTGGCAGTGGATCTTGATGGGCAAACATGCATCGGTGTTTTTCTTATTGTACTAATGAGGAAACTGAGGCACAGAGAGGTGGAGTAACTTTCCCAAATTGCACAGCTAATGATAGAGCTAGGATTGAAACCAGGTGAGGTGGCCTGGCTCTGAGCCTTTGATCTGATCCTGGATGCCCCTTCTAAGGGGAGGATAGGAAGGGAGGATGCTAGGGAAGGAGAAGGTGGGAGAGTGAAGGTGGGGGGCAGAAGCCCCATTCAGGTTCTCCCTGGCTGTGACCCCCTAGGTGCCTTCTACTCGGAGTCGTTGCTAGATCCCAGCAGCCCGGGCCGAGTGGTGGTCCTCAATACCAATCTGTACTACAGCAACAATCGGCTCACGGCGGACCTGCCTGACCCCAGCCAGCAGTTCCAGTGGCTGGACGGGGTGCTGACCAACGCATCCCAAGCTGGGGAGATGGTGAGGGGTGCCTGGCCTTGGGTGTGTCTGTCTGTCTGCCGAGTGGGCAGCCCTTCAAGGACCGGCACAGTGGCTCATGTGCTGAGTCCCTGTGCTGCCCAGCATGTCCTAGTAGGATGTCATTCATGACTGGGGTTTGTGAGCACGGGGGCCAAGTGCTCAATTTTTATCAGCTGAATGACCTGAGGAGTGTAAGGCGTGAACACAAATGGCCATACAGTGTATGCTACACAATAATTGGGCACAGGCAGCCCAAGGTGTCCAGGCAAACCAGTCTTAGACAGTTCAGGGAGGCTTCACGGAGGTGACTGTGGAGCCAGGTTCAGAGTAGAGGTAGGATCTCTAGAAGTGAAAAGAAAATGTTCTCCAGGTGGCAGACAGAGGCACAGAGGTGGGAAGGCTGTGGCACACTCGTTGAGACGGAACTGGGGAGGATGTCGTGGAGGAGGTGCATTTGAGCTGTCCCCCTGCCTTTGGGAAGATGGGAAGATTTTGAGAGGTAGAAACAAAGGCCTGGAGGGGGCGTCTCTGAGTCCCCTGGACACCCCTTCTTTGTAGGTCTACATCATTGGCCATGTGCCCCCGGGGTTCTTCGAGAAGACACGGAACAAGGCGTGGTTCCGGGAGGGCTTCAACAAGGAGTACTTGAAGCTGGTCCAGAAGCACCACAAAGTCATAGTGGGGCAGTTCTTTGGGCACCAACACACTGACAGCTTTCGGATGTTCTACAGTGATGCAGGTACTCACCAGAGGGCGACTGCTCACCCACCTGCCTCCTTCACTCAGCAGCCTCTCTCATTCCTGCTGTCTCTCTCCTGAAAGGTGAACCTATAAGCGTCATGTTCCTTGCCCCTGGAGTGACCCCGTGGAAAACCACGTTGGTTGGAGTGGTCAATGGGTCCAACAATCCAGGTATCCGGCTGTTTGAGTATGACCGAGCCACACTGAGCCTGCAGGTCAGGAGCCCGGGGTCTGCTGGGGCAGAGGAGGAGGGTGGAGGGACCCTAACCTGTCACTGCCTTCCCTGGTATCACTTAACTCACCATACTGATCGGGGTGCCTCAAGAAGGTCGAGTTACTCCACCCTCCTCCAGCTCAGGTTCAGAACCCTGGAGCCGCCTACAGCCAAGCCAGGTCACTCCTTCTGCTCCCAACCCTGGACCACTGCCAGTCTCCTGCCTGCTTTCCCTGCTTCCAGCCCTGTCCTGCTGTAATTCATCTGCTGCACATTACAGAAAGGGTTAATCTCTCTAAACCACTCTTTTCACCTTGCCCTTCTCCTGCTTAATGTTGAGGCTGATACAGGAGGATCACTAGTTAGAGGCCAGCTTGGGCTACTGTGAGACCCTGTCTCGAAAAACAAAACAAAACAAAAACAAAAAAAACCATCAATGTTTTCCCAGTGCCCTCAATATAAAGTTGGATCTTCTTGGCCTAGTAGTGGAAGCGTCCCACAGTCTGACCTCAAGCCCACTGTCCATCTTTTCCCACCGGACTAGGCTCCAGCCACTAATTCATCAAGCAATCCCTACAAGCAATCCTTGTGATTGTTGAAATGACCAAGAAATGCTATTCTTTCACGTGTTCTACAAAATGTGTTAAGTACCTGCCATGTGGCAGACTCTGTCCTAAGCTCAGGAGATACATAAGTGACCCAAACTAAGTCCCTGCTCTCCTGGACCTGATATTCTCACAAGAGAGAGGCAATCAACAAATGAGTAAAATTAAGTATGGGGATCTCTACAGAGAAGGGCTAAGGAGAAAAAGAAAACAGAACAAGTAGACAGAAGGCATGTGGTTACGGGGTATGTGTGCTGTGTTAAACACATGAGACAGGAAGTGTCACAGGTGATGCCTGTGTCCAAAGTAAGCCAGGTGGAAATGTGGGGAAGGCAGAGGAGGCAGCCAGTCAGACACCCTAGAGTGGGAACATGCTTGGTGTCTCAGGGGAGAACAAGGAGGCTAAGTGGCCACAGTGGCAGGCACAGGAGAGCCTAGGAGGGACATGGCTGGATCTGAAGCCTTGAGGACTCTGGATTTGGAAGGTTTGGGGCAGAAGCATGAAATATTTTAACTTTATTTTAATAAAATCACCATGTCTGCTATGCAGAGAGCAGACTGTTGGGGCCCAGGAAAGAGGCTCAGGAGCAGAAAGCAGCTGTGAGGTGCCTGTGGCTTGGACCAGGGTGGTGACCGGGGATTTGTGAGAAGTATCGGATCCTGGAGGCATTATGAGGCAGAGTAGCTGGGATTCGCTGGCACCTTGGTGTGGGCCATGGCATGTGACAGGAAGAATGGAATGGAGGAGGATCAGCGGGCTGAGCCACTGAAAGGATGGGGCTGCTGCTTACTGAGACAGGGTAACTGTGAGGGGACCCAGTGTGGAGGGAGAATCAGAGGTGTGCTTTTGGACCTGTTGACTGTGGGATGTCTAAATGGCATCCACGTGAAAAGGGCGAGGGAGCAGGCAAGCTGGAATTCCAGCAACAGGTAAGTATGGACGTTTAATCTGGGAGCTAAGAGAGGACATTTAAAGTCAGGGACAGGAGGTCCTTGATTCTAGAGAGTAAGTACAGACCAAGAAGAAGTCTGAGGATTTTTCAGAGTGTGGCCTGAGCTGCTTCATCTATAAAATGGAAGTGACAGCACAGGTTTTGGGGTGGACTGGGTAAAAGTGTACACGTGTTTCCCATCCAGCCATAGCAGCTCCCTTCCCTGTCTCCAGTAACTACTGATTTAACCAGAAAGTATTGGACCAATAAACCTTCCAGATTCTAATCCTAAAGATCCCCCTAGGTCCTGGGGGTCTTGAGTGTGTCCTAAGCCCCCATCAACCACAGTTCCTGTTAGCTGGACCCCCTCTCCTGGTTAATCCCACTCAGTCCATAATGATTCACCAAGCATCACTGCCATGCCTCCGACCTTGGTGGAACGGACAGTTCACAGGCAGTGAGGTCAACATTCTGGGTTCCAGACCCACCTTTGCCACTGAACACCCGAATGGCCATAGCCAAATGGACTGACCTCTTTAGGCCTCTGTTTCCTCACTTGTGAAATGGGGAAAATAAGCCTGGTTCCTCATTACATCCATTCAGAGGATGTCTGCCAAACATACCCGGTGAGTAGTGAAAATGTTCACTAATGCAGACCAAAAGAACACGAGGGGGGAATGCAAGGAACAGGATTGGGGGTGCACTAGACAGCTGTTCACTGCTGGTCCCCCTTTGTGCACCTGTTCCAGGATATGAGGACCTACTTCATGGACCTGCGCCAGGCGAATGTGCAAAACAACCCTCGCTGGGAGCTCGAGTACCGGGTGACTGAGGCCTATGGGGTGCCGAATGCAAGTGTCCATTCCATGCAAGCGGCAGCGACTGGCATTGCCAATGACCAGGACAAGCTGCAGCGCTACTATGTTTACAACTCTGTGAGCTACAACACTGCAGCCTGTGGCGAGACCTGCCGTATGGAGTTCTTGTGTGCCATGCAGGAAGTGGACTTCAATGCTTACTATACCTGCCTGAGCAACGCCGGTGCCAGGTCAGGGCTAGGAGCCTTGCTGGTCCTACTGGGCATGCTGCTAAGCCTGCATGTTCTGCTCAAACCCTAACTTTGGGCACCGTCCTCCCCCTGTGGGGCTCATCTTCCTTCTGGGAAAACTGGGCAGTGTCACCCCATCAAGAGCTGATTTTGCCACCATTTTCCTGTGCTGAGGAGAGTAAACTTGGATGGGACAAGCAGGTTCAGGAAACGAAGCCCCAAAGACCCCTCCGGAAGCACATTTCTCTCAAGTTGCAGGTTTTATCTGCAAAAATAATGTGCATGGTGCATCTTATTCTGTGCATTATTCCTTTTAATATACAAATGTTTAAATCAGCTCACTTTTGGTTACCAAACTGTGCCGCTGTCTTTGCTCTGGATTCACTCTCTTAGTCTATCCCCAGTTCAAGGCACAGGCTATAAGCACATGAAGTTTGCAAAATCCTGCTGAGGAGACTCAGAATGTACCTTTTTGCTTCTTTGTTTGGTTCCGTAACAGAACATATACAAGGGATTGTTATCGGCCAACAAATCGAACAAGCACTCCCAAATGAGCACAACAAAGCAATGCTTGTAACTGTTTTCTACCTTCGAATCTCTCACACCAGTCAGTAGCCCCAAATGACTGGTAGGAGGGCCAAAGTTGAAGGTGCTTAGTCACCCAAGTGGCACTGCTGAGCACCCCAAGAGAAAGTCAAAAGGCTACTTCATTAGCCCAATCAAATGGTGGAGAAAGTAGATCCCTGGAGTGCACTTTCCAGCCAGAAATCAGGTGGAGGCCATCAGCTCCCCAAACCTTTTGTCTTTCACCAACAAAAATATTTACAGCAGCTAATTCCATAAACAGGAAAGGAGAATTCCCAAGTGTGGAAGAATCCCTGGCAGCTGCCGGAATGTCCCTGAAGTCCTGATGATGGGTTCAACTAGCCACAAATAGCCAGTCCCTTTTCCTAAGCGCCTGTGGCCTGGCCAGTTGGAAACCAGGAGACCTAGGCCCCTCAGGAGCTGGGACTCACCTCCGAGTGAGCTGAAACTGTTACTGGCCATTGGGGTCCATAAGCTCAAGTCCATTTGCTTGCTGCTGACCAAGCCAGTAGCTTGGCAAGCAGAGGCCATTTATTTTGGTGAAAAGGAAAAAGGGTTTATCCAAAGTTAGCTCCATCCTTCGAGATGGAGGGGGCTCTTTTGCCTCAAATCACCATCTCTCTCCTACAGGTGTGTAAGGGGCTTTTCTAGGAAGGGCCAGCGGGGAGAGGGAATACAAGGAGACCACAGGCAATTCCAGGCTTGTTTCCTCTGCCTGGAGCCCGACCTCCTGGACCAGCATTTGCACATTCTGTCCATACATCTAGGCTGAGGAGAGGTGGCATTTATGTCCTAGACCTGAGAAGGTCTGGAGAAGCTGTTTGTCTCTAAAAGACAATTCTAGCTTTTAAAGTTTCATTTTGCTGAGCAGGTTACAGGATAACAGTTGTACCTTCAGTTCTAGCTCACAAGCCATTCTCAGCTTCTTGGACCTCCAGGTGTCTCTACTGTGAAACTAGGAAATTAGAAGCTTGCTAAGCAGCCAAGTTCCAGTGGTGCCTGTAATCCCAGGAGTCTGAGAGGTGAAGGCAGGAGGATCTCAAGTTTGAGCCAATCCTGGGTGACTTATAGAGTCCCAGTTTCAAAATAAAAATTTAAACTGGGCATGGTGGTTATGCCTGTGATCCTAGCACTCAGGGGGCCAAGGCAGTAGGATAACAAGAGTTCGAGGCCAGCCTGTACTACAGTGAGACCCTGTCTCAAAAAGCCAAACAAACGGGCCGGGGATTTAGCTCAGTGGTTCCAGCACCTGCCTTGAAAGCGCAAGGTCCCAAGTTCGATCCCTGGTACCTAAAAAAAATAAAAATAAAAAAATAAACAGAGGGCGGCGGGGCGAGGGATGTAGCTCAGTGGGAAGGCCCTGGGTTCAACCCCCAATACTGTTAAAAAAAAAAAGCCTGCTAAACAAAGGGGATCAGTCTTCCAGGGCGGATTTCCAGGCCGTCGCACCTCCACAGAGCTGGGCCGGATCCGGGAGTGGGCGTTGGAACTGCCGTGGGTTGGGCGGGGGGGGGCGGGGGGCGGGGCGGCCGCCCCTAGCCCCTCCCCGGACAGGGCGGGACAGGGAAGTCCCGCCCCTCAGGCCCCGGCCCGGGGTCACCCCGAGGGCTGCGACCGCCGCTTTCCCGTCCCACGACCCCGTCCGGAGCGAAAGAGGGCGCTGAGGCGGGCGGGCCATGCCCTTGTCGCCCCGCGTCGCTCTCCTCCGGGACCTGGTCTTGGGCGTGCTGGGCACTGCCGCCTTCCTGCTCGACCTGGGCGCCGACCTGTGGGCCGCCGGGCAGTACGCGCTCCGCGGCCGCTACCTGTGGGCCGCGCTGGTGCTGGCGCTGCTGGGCCTCGCCTCGGCCTTGCTGCAGCTCTTCAGCTGGGTCTGGCTGCGCGCCGACCCCGCCGGCCTGCACGGCCCGAAGCCCCCCGGCCACTGCCTGGCGCTGCTGCACCTCCTGCAGCTCGGCTACCTGTACAGGTGAGCGCCCCGCCCTCGGGGAGGGCACAGAGGGGACCCGGAAGGGGCTGGGAGGCCGAAGCCGCCCCCTGCAGGTGAGCGGCCGCCGGCGCGGAGGGAGCCCGGCCGCTGCCCCCAGAGCCGTGCAGCACCCCCTTCCGGGACAGGCGAAGAAACTGAGGCACAGGGAAGAAAGAGGAGATTCATAGGCTTCGGAGTCAGACTTCTCCGGGATCCAACTCTGGCGACACCGACTGTGACTTACTTTCTGCATTTCTCTGAGCCTTAGTTTTCATTTCTAAAAAGAGACGGTCAGGTAGAGAGGCCTGGCCCGCAGGGTGAGCCCTGTTCCTTTAGCTGTGGGTAGGGTCTTGGGCAAATCGCTGACCATCCCAGGCCTCAGTTTCCTTGTTGTGCCACTGGGGATAGTAGTAGTGTCAATTTCTGCTTTGTGAGGATTAAGCAAAATGACACCTGTAGTTCTATAATTTTTTTTTGTACCGGGGATTGAACTCAGGACCTTGCTTTTGCCAAGCAGGTGCGGCGCCAGTGAGCTACATCCCTGGCCCCAAATGACACCTGTAAATTGCCCTGGCACAGAGCAAACGTTTGGCAAATGTCAGCTAGCTTCATGCCACCTTGGCTACCCTGAGAGTTTCAGGCGACTCCAGCCCCAGAGCAGGGCTTGCTTCCTCTCTCCCTCCCTCCTCTCTTTTCTTTCCTTTCCCTTTCCTTTTTTCTTTCCCTTTCCCTTTCCCTTTCCCTTTTTCTTTCCTTTCCTTTCCTTTCGTAGGGATTCAGCCCAGGGGATGCTGAGCTAACATCCTCAGCCTTTTAAAATTTTTTTATTGTCTGTCTGTCTCTCTTTTTTCCTTTCTCTCTCTCTCTGTTTCTTTTTTCCTTTCGACAAAATCTTGTTAAATTGGCTGCCCTCAAACTTGCAGTTCTTCTGCCTCATTCTCCTGATTATCTGGGATTACAGGCTTGTGGCACCATGCCTGGCCCCCTTTCCCAGTTGCTGCTACTCCCTGAACTTTTGCTTCCCAACCCCAGACTGGAGCCTGAGGGCAGATGGGTGCTGAACACACCAGGGCTCTACACAGACAGGGTCTGAGAAAATGTAGTGGCCTGTGCTTCTTTTTGGAACTGTCAGGGGACCCAAAAAGATGGAGACACTTAAGTGTGTTTGAAGTGATGGGGGATATTTTGAGCAGGAGAAACTGAAGCCATGAGGTCAGAGTCATGAGATAAAGTCAGGACATCATTGTGTGGTCTGGGCTGGTGTGGCTGGAGGCAGAATCTGCTCCGGAACCCATTTTTATGAATTCTCTCCAGATCTTGAAAAAGGTGCCTGGAGTTTCCAGCTGTACTTGGGGAGAGGAGCTTTGAATGTTGCCGTTTTGCTCGAGGGACCCTAAGACTCCAGTCAAACCCGGGTGGGTCTGAAGGGGCGTTTACGACAGTCCCAGGCAGGTTTCACACACTGCCTTCCTCCTTCTCCTGAGTTGGGCCACCTTTGGATTTGAGAACAGGCTCTCTGTTCCTACCCATGAGGAGGCTAATATGGGGCCCCTGCTGGAATACTGGGGACCAGAAGCTCTTGTTCCTTCCTGTTATCAGGCAGGGCACCAACAGTCAACATGTGCTGAGTGGATTTGCAGTGAGTGACTGGGCCACGTGACATCCCTTCTGGGTGCGGAAGACCTCCGTGCCTCCTCCATGCCCCCTCATGCCAGTGGCTCCCCAAGGCCCCTTTCTGGACTCCCTCACATCTGTGCCAGTCTCTGTCCCCACCTGTCCAGGCCAGGCTCTCCCGCTTTCTCCTGGGGCTGTTCGGCAGCCTGCTAAACAGGATCCCCACTTCTGCTCTCAGCTCGCCGACCCTTCCTTCTCTGCATAGCCAGCACACTCTTTAGGCTAAAGCACACTCTGCCCCCGGCTGGCCCTTGCTCAAGGTGCCTTTGCCCATGGGGCACATATGGAAATTGAAGACTGCCTTGGACAAACTTTACAGCATGCTACATTCAGAGTTTTGGATCCAACCCTGATACCCCAACTTGTTAGCTTCTTGATGTTTTTCCTTTTCTGTAAATGGGGCCCTCGTGAGGAATAAACAAAACAAGGTTTGTTATGGGCTTGGGACAGTGGCTGCCCAGCAGAAGTTGTATTTATCCCTGTTTTACAGGTGAGGAAACAGGTTCCAAGAGGTTAGGGCCTTGCCCAGGCCCCTTAGCTTGTGTGTGACAAGCTAGGGTTGGAGCCTGTTCTAGACCAGATGGGTGGGAGACTGGGGACTGCACAGGACACTGACCCGGCCCTGTGGGCATTTGTATGTGCCTAGGTGCCTACAGGGGCTGTGGCAGGGGCTGCTGGTGTGGCAGCAGGAGACGCCCTCTGAGTTCGACTTGGCCTATGCTGACTTCCTCTCCCTGGACATCAGCATGCTGCGGCTCTTTGAGACCTTCTTGGAGACAACGCCACAGCTCACGCTGGTGCTGGCCATCATGCTGCAGAGCGGCCAGGCTGAGAACTACCAGTGTGAGTGCCCAGCTGGCAGCTGGCCCCCTCCAAGCAGCAGTTTCCCTCCTGTGTCAGTAGTGTTTTCATCCTTTTCTACAGGCTGCTGAGAAAATAGGAGACCAAGCTTTAGGGAGTGGGTCTGGGTTCAAATTTAAAGTTACTCTTCAGCTGCACAAGTTTGGGAAAATACTCAACTCCTGAAAAAATGACTCAACAGGCTCCTAAAGCACTAGGGAGGCTGAGGCAGGAGGCTCACTGCAAGTTCAGGGCCAACCTAGGTTACGTAGTGAGTTCAAGACCAAACTGAACTATACAGTGAGACTCTGTCTCAAAAAAAAGAAGAAAAGAAGTTTAAAAAAAAAAAAAGACTCAACAAATTGAATATCAATTTGTTCTCATCTGAAAAACAGATATAATAACTGCTACTACCTTATAGGGTTGATGAAAGGATTAAATGGGATGCATATAAAGTCCAGTGCCAGGTACCTAATAAATCTTTTTTTCCCACTCTTTTTTACTGGTTAAATAGATGAGTGGGTTTCATTTTGGCAGATTTTTCCCTGCATATAAAATACTCTGACTATTTGCAAACTCCCTAGCACCCTGTAGCTCTTCCCTTCCCCTAGTTTCATAAAAATCTTAATTATAATTTTTACTGTTTTGATGTAATGGATAAAGGATGCAGGGTACCAGATACATAACAGGCAACCTGTTAGTCAATAAGCAATTTATTGAGCACATTTATACATTCAAGGGTTTTATCAGGAGGATCTTCTGTGCCTGCCACTGTACTGGGCACGAAGCAGTGAATGAGATACACAGAGCCTTTGCCCTACCCAGGTAAGATGGTAAAATAAGGAGTTACACTAAGTGTGCTGAGTGGTCAGCAGAAGGAGAGGGAGTGGCAGAAGTTGGCAGAGCCTCATAAACCATGGGAGAAGTTTGTACAGTGAGGAGACTTGGAAAGGCTTCCTGCAAAATGAAAGTGACTTGTCCAAGCTCCCAGAGCCAGCCAGAGGCCAAGGCCGGACTTCATCTCACAGCTGATTCAGAGTCCAGGGCCTTCTCTTGCCCTTTACTACCCCTGCACACCTCAAGGCCCCCTGCCGTACATGCCACTGCCTCCCAGGGAATGAAGTCCTCACCTGCCGTCACATAGAGTATGACCCGGGGAAGACCATCTGTACTTCACACAAGAGGAAAGAGGTACAAACAGGTGAAGTGACTTGCCCTGGGCCATTCAGCACTCACATACTCTTTTTTTTTGGTACCAGGGATTGAACTCAGGTCCTTGCACCAGTGCAACAGGCTGTGAAACCACTGAGCTAAATCCCCGGCCCTGGTTTTTGGTTTTTTGAGAGAGTCTCACTATGTAGCCCAGGCTAGCCTCCTAGCAATCCTCCTGCCTCAGCCTCCCGAGTGCTGGGATTATAGGAGTGTGGCACCACGCCCAATATTCACATATTCTGATTTGTCTGTTTGAAGGTGGTAAATTTCTAGGACCAAGGCGAATTGGAGACAGATTATACAGTATGTTGGGTGAAAGGAAACAGATTTTTCTCAGTTTCCTATCTATCTATTTATTTATTTTTATTTTTTATTTCTTGGGGTTTTTTGAGACAGAGACTTGCTATGTAGTTGAGGCTGGCCTTGAACACATGTAATCCAGGGTAGTCTCGAACTCACACCTATCCTGCCCCAGCCTCCCAAGTGCTGGGATTACAGGCATATGCCACCATGCCTGGCTCAGTTTCCTATTTAGCAAGCATTTATTATGTGCCAGGTATTGGGCTGCCTGGGGAGCCCAGATGAACAGAATCTGTTTCCTACTCCCTAGGAGCTCTGAGATAAGGAAATAGATGCCGTACTTTTAACTGTGTGCCAAGAGTCCTGGCAAAGGTGGATGGGGTATTGCAAGGGCACTTGACTCAGCAGAGAAGTAACCTTGGGAGGCTGGGGCCTTTGGGGTGAGGAGGAGTAGGCCTGGGAAATGGGGCATGTGCCCCTGGGTGAAGCTTATAAAGTCAGAGAATGCGGCATGCTGGAGAGAACATCTGACCTAGAGCTTGGGTGGTTAGAGTGGTGGCTGCAGATCTGATGCCAGGCTGGAGTGTGTTCTGGGCACAGGAGAGTTTCCCAGTAAACCCCTGTTGAATGAGAGAGCTGGAAGGGAGCAGGGGAAGAAGCATTATACATTTTTTTTGGTACCGAGGATCAAAGGAAGAAGCGTTATAGACATCACAGCTTCCATCCTTCCTTGGAGGGCCTGGTGCTTCCAGCCTGGGGTGGCAGTCAGGGTTAGGGGAAGACCCTGATCATAAGATTCTGGATCTTGGAGAATCAAGACCTGGGCCCAGGTCTCACGTGGAGGGGAGTCGAGGGGTGGGAGGAGAACTTCTTCCACAGCAGGGACGTCCCTCCTAGCCCTCAGGACTTCATGGGGTCTCCAGTGCTCCTTTCTGACCAGGAGGAAGGAGGAACTGGGACTGCCAATTTTCAGATCTAAGAGTGGCTTGGGCTTGTCATGCCTGACTTAAGTGAGATCTTCACAAGCAAACAGGCCACTTCCAGCAAATGACAGGCTATTTCTCAGTAAACAGAAGACAGTCTCCCTGGCTCCAAAAAGTCCAGTGATTGTCTACACACCTGTGCTGTCTGTCCTTGGACTCAATCATAAATATTCACCCCAGATTCCTTAGCCCCTTCAATACCTATATAAGCGTAACTCCTTTCCCAGTTAGTTGCTAATCTTCCTCTCCTGGTGTTAGCCCATCCACTTATGGATGTAATTTTCTCAGCTAGATGCTAGAACCTCTCCTTGATTTTAGGCCCTGATTTTAGTCTCTGTTCACTGGAATAACTTTTCTTTCAAAGCCCATTTAAATGAGTGGTTTCCTGTGCATCATCTGTAACAGGCCTCTTCTGGGAAAGGAAAGATTGTGGGCTCCTAGAAGATGCTCAGGCCTTGGGGTGCCAAATGCTGGGTGACTCTTTGTGAGTAACACACACCCTTATCCTTGACAAATGTCACAGGATAGCACCTGAAAGTGAAGCATCGTGGGGTAGGGCTGGTTCTGTACTTGAATCCCTGCCCTGTGTTTGGTAGGTTGTATGAATTCACTGTGTTCCCCTCCTGCCCTTTGCCCTTCCACAAATGGGGATTCTAATACCTACCTCAGGGTGACTAGGAGGGTCCTGAAGGTACTGATGAGCCCTGGGAGTGGGCCAGGCAGGCTGCCCACAGGGCTCATCTCTTTCCTCTTGCTCCTTGTAGGGTTTGGCGTCTGCACATCTGTGCTGAGCATCTCGTGGGCGCTGCTGGACTACCACCAGGCCCTGCGTACCTGCCTTCCCTCCAAGTCTGGCCTGGGCTGGGCTGCTTCTGCCATCTACTTCCTGTGGAACCTGCTGCTCCTGTGCCCCCGACTTCTGGCTGTGGCCCTGTTCTCAGCTCTTTTCCCCCAGTATGTGGCCTTGCACTTCCTGGGCCTGTGGCTGGTGCTGCTGCTCTGGGTCTGGCTTCAGCGTACAGACTTTATGCCAGACCCTGGCTCCGAGTGGCTGTACCGGGCGACGGTGGCCACCATCCTCTATTTCTCCTGGTTCAATGTGTCTGAGGGCCACACCCGAGGCCGGGCCATCATCCATCTGGTATTTCTCTTGAGTGACAGTATTCTACTGGTGGCCACCTGGGTGAACTATAGCCCCTGGCTGCCTAGTGAGATCTCATTACATGTTTGTCTGGCTGTGGGAGGCATCTGCTTCCTTGCAGGTCTGGCTGTGCGCCTTGGCTACTACCGCTGGCTGCACCCTAGTTGCCGCTGGGAGCCTGATCCGGTGGATGGAACCCGGGTGGATGGGCCCCGGAATCTCTTTCCTTGCAAAAATCATCAGCTGCTTTGGAACAGGCGCATGACTCAGTTGGCATTGAGCTTTTTCCCTAAAGCTAAGGATGAGGGTGTTTTGCCAGCGAAGGGAGAGGTGAATGGGGTCCTTTAGGCAGTGCACACCCAAGCTACAAGGGGTTCACTATGTGAACAAGATGAGGAGAAGGCCTGGCCCTGGAAGGTCAAGGGTGCCGATTATGTACAAGCCATGTTGGCAGGAAAGAGGACTTGTTTTCTCCTCGAACAGTGTAGGCGTTACACCCAAACCTTCCCATTGTTGGTATTTTCACCACACGGCCACCTCTCAGGTGGTAGAAATGCTGTCCCAGCCCTTGGTTCCTCTATCCCGGGCTAAATGGCACGCCAGGAGTTCTCCAAACTCCTTCCCTGCCCGACCCCATTCATTTAATTTATTCAACAAATGTTTACTGAAAGCATTTTGTGTGCCACAACCAACATTGTAACTTTGGTACCAGCTGCCACACCAGCTTTATCCCTGACCTGATCGAACCAATCCTGGGTAGGAGTTCAAAGGTGGGGGCCAGGACACCCAACTGTAGACTATCAGCCCCTCCAGGGTCTCCGTGCAGCTGACCCAGCCTCTGCACCTGCTCTCCAGGGGCTGCCTTTCAACTAAGTGCCTTGTAGACCTGTGGTCTGGACCATGCATAGCCCGTTGAGTATTTTTATTCTTTGTTGTTTTTGTTACTGGGGATCGAACTCGGGTCCTTGTGCTTGCAAGGCAGGCGGCATAATCACTTAGCTAAATTCCCAGCTCGAGTATTTGTATTCTTTAGCCAGTGTCCCTCCTACCTCAGAGTCCATGTTAGATGAAGACAATGTATGTGTCACTAAAGTGAGGACACATGTGGTACATGTTTGACAGTATTATAAGGTTATTATTAAAAACCTCATGAAACCCTCCAAACTGTGTATCATTTAAGCCTACTACCATTCCTACAGAGAAGAGGTAGGGACATGAAATTCTTTGAAATTGGTAAAGGCCCTTGGAGCAGACAAGAAGGCTGGCTTAGGTGTGACTTCTCATTCTTGTTTTCCAAGTTTCCAGGTGCTGAGTGGACCCCGGTGCATTCTTTTACTACCAGCTGTGCTGCTGGGCCTGACAAGGGTAACCATAAGCATCTTTGGGAGTAGGAAGTGTGAGAGACCAGGTAGAGGATGTTGTCTTTTCTCATTGCTGGGACAAAATACCTGATACTCACAAATTAAGGAAAGGCTTGACTCACAATTTGTAGAGGTTTCAGTCCATACTCAGCTGACTCCAAGTCAAGGTGACATGGCAGAGGACAAACAGTCCATAGCATGCCAGGCAGGAGGCAGTGAAGCAGCAAGCAGCTGCAGCAAAGCAAATCTCCCTTTTCCTTTTGCCCATCAGGGCTACAAGCCTTTTGGGTGGTGCCACCCACACCCAGGATGGGCCGCCTTATTATCCACACCCGGAACAACACTAAACCAATCAGCGGACTAATCCACTTGTCACACCTTTAATCCATATTCATACCCCCTTAATCCACATTCACACACCTTAGATCCAGCCACCTCCAAAAAGCCCCACCTCTGCATGAGGCTTTGGGGGAACATCTAGATACAAGCCAAAAGAGATGGCCTGTCAAGAGAATGAAAAGGTTCCAGTCACCACTGTGATGGGATTCAGAGTAGTCACTTGTTATTCATTTGGTGGAGACACAGTAAACAGGATAAACATTTAGTGTATCAGATAGTGTGGTGCTAGGAAGGTGAGAGGGAGGTGTTTTCATGTTGGGAGTGACAACTCTAGAATGTAAAGGGAAACCTCCCTGAGAAACCACCCTGTGGTGGGCCAGTGAGCCATGTCAGCAGTGACTAGTCGGTGGCCTATAAATGGGATAAGGAACAGAGTCTGGGATCGCCATTGGTGGCTTGAATCATCAAGGGGAAGAATACTGCAAGGATTAAAAATAACCCCCACATCTCATTTTCATTGTCTCATAGAAGAATATAATTACCTCATAAAAAGTAGTTGATGTGACAATGAAATCAGGCCAAATCAAAGGAGGTTTGGTATCAATTTGTCAGTTTTATTGCTTTTGTGATTTAAGCTCAACACGCAACTATTGACTTCTCTTTAATATTAAAGTTCAGCACATTTGACAGCAAATGAAATCTTATTCCAGTTCTAAACCTTAAAAAGCAGTGTGTCTTAGAAAACAAGTCAGAAATAAATGCTCCCTCATAAGTTAAACATTTCTTTCATTTTCCCATATATATTTATTTATACCAAATGGCTAGCTTTTACTTTTTTGGTGAAGTCACTGACCCAGTTATTGAAAGGGTAACATCTTTCTAAAAATCTCTTCACAATCCATATGAAGCCCTGATTAGGACTCTACACAGATTGGGCAACTGGGCCGATCTATTCAGAAAAGACAACAGGAAAAAAAACTGTATAGAAAATAAAATTTTTATTTTTTTCAAGTTTATAAGATAGTTCCCATTACATATAACATTATGGTCAAGGATTCTACAGCCACGAATGCCCACAGTCACATAAATATATCCAACCCAATCAATGCCTTTTCCTACCAACAGAGGCATCTGAAGTCCAGAGGGAGTCACGTGTGGAGAAGTTGTCCTTCCCAGGATGGCTCCGTCAGTGCATTAGGAACTTGCTAAGGAACTCAGCTTGCTAGAGCTGGTGCAGAGCAGAGGACAGGACAGATGGCCCCGATGGTGGGACTGGGACACAAGCAGGTCTTCCCTCTTGTGGTTAAGGTGTCTTAGAGTGCTCAAGAGAGGGCCTGATGGTGCCCCCTTGGGGGAGTGGAGAGCGGGAGCTCCCTCATCGGCTCTCCTACAAGAGGAAGCCACTGTGCTCTGCTTGGTGAGTTCAGTGGCACTGACACCCACTCAAGGTAGTGTGTCCCAGCTCCATATGCTGCAGCTGGAGTTTTCCAAGATTTTACCTGGGTGCTGTGAAGCTGAGTTTGTGTAAACTGGGAACACGCTACAGCAAGTCTCTTGGGACACGTTTTGCCTCCCAATTTGCAGAGCAGAAGACAGCACACACACCCCCCCACCCGCCCCATCGAAAGCCTAAACCGGCATCTAAGCATGGAGGAGCCCATTCTCCTGGTCACCACCAGCTGCCCCAGGGTACAGAACAGGGTGATGCTAAGGCACAAATTTACATTCGAAAGTCAAGCCACCTCTTATCCTAGGACATGATACCTCCAGAGCCACTACAGACAGCCCTGGCCAAGAGACATCCAGGCCACCCCTGGGAGCCACAGTGGAGGGGTGAGGAAGGACTCATTGGGCCAGTATCACAGACACTCCTTCCAGTAAAAGGGAGCCTCCCCTTGCTGAAAATACCCACAGTACTGTTGGCTTCATTTTCCTTCTAGCTGTCTGTGCCAGGGGAGATGGGGAAAAGGGCAGTGCTCCCTGATGGAGCTCTCTGATGAGCCAGGAAGCCCCGCTCTGTTTGCCCTCTGAATGGGGGGGGGGGTGGCAGCTGCCGGAACGGTGCACAGGCGGCTCTGCTTAGAGCCTCCTCACCTCTCCTAGCCAAAGTTCAAGTCCCTTTTGAAAAGAGCTAAGCTGAGAAGTCAGGACTAAAGGAAAAAGGACACTGAACAGGAGTCCAGGTCATATTCTAATGAGCCTGGCATGTGCGGGAAGTGTGTGTGACGTGCATGTGTGCAGGGTAACACCCTGCAGCCCCACAAGCCCAGAGCCCAGTACCAACAGGTGGCCTTTGTTCAGGGCAAGAAATAGCGATATTGGCAATGGGGTGCAGGTCTGAGGCATGAAAGTAAAATCCATCCAGAGCTAAGATGGACCCTCGGGCAAGGTAGGGCAGCACTAGGGCAGCTGTGCTGCAGTCCAGGAGGGTCTGCTTCGGACTTCCCCCTTCCCTCACCTCACTTGGAAATGCGGCCGAAGAGGTGACCCAGTGATGCAGTGCCAACTTCAGCTCCTCTCCCAAAACTTCCCTCTTAAACTGTAAGTAATGAAGCACTCTAAAAGGAATGTCTGTGCCAGCCTGTTGCTGTCTGGGTGACCTGGCTTGCCTAGTGCAGCCACCTCTCTGGGGATAAGCAGAGCTGGGGTTGGTCAAGAAGCTCATCCTCACCAAGGACCAAGGCTGCATCTCTGAGGTGTGTACACAGCAGCCTGTCTGTGCAGTGGAGAGAGCTGCAGCTCCTCAGCTCTGTTAGCTTTATCCTACCTGAGCAGGTGCCCAGGTTGGTCCTGGAGGAGGCAACCAGCACACAGGGCTGGGCTAGAAGGCTGGGACTAGGGCCCAGGCCTCTATCCACTTCCCAGAGGGCATAAGGGAAGGGAGCCAGCACCCTCATTTAAATCAGGAAAATTCTTTCTGACCTTCTGATTTCCCATTTCAGAATGGGATTTGAAGAGTGAGGTGGTTCCATGGAAAACTGGGTTTTGATTAGAGCAATGTGCACTCTTCCAGGGAGAGATCTGGGTAAACAGATGCCTGGGATACCCTGCATGTGGCTGAAGGGCTTCCTGAAAGGAAGCAGTGAGAAGCCTGGTTTTAGACTTTATTTGACTCCTTGAGTCCAGGGCAGGGAGTGGTCAGAGCTGCATGGAGGGAGATGTGAGGTCAGAGGGCAGCATCTGCTAGGAAAGATGAGGCTGCAGGGTGAGCTTCTGGTGGGGAAGGGTGCTTCTCTGCAGGAGGAAGAGGTGGAATCTTCTTGACTCAAGAGCCAAAGACCCTGAAATTCCTAAGAAGCCTAAGTCCCTTCTTTCCAGTTTGGAGGTGAAGCCTCCTGGCATGTAGTCTCTGAATGAAGAGTCATGCTGAAGGCTTAAAATTGCAAGGAAGGAGTTTCCAGGGGTGTACTGTCTGGTTAAAGGGGACGAGGGGCTGGCAAGGGGACTAAGGCTTCTAGGATGGGAACTGCCAAAGCCTGAAGTTCATCAGTGTCCAGTGCCCCACAGGCAGAAAGGAACATTTGAGAGAGCAGAGCACTGGAGCAGCTAAGGAGATGCTGCAGCCACAGAGAGGTATTTCCAAAACGTCATTTACTATTTCCACAGAAACTTTCTATGCCCTTTTCTTGCTAGAAAAAGAAAAGGGGGAAAGACTTGCTTCAGAGACCAGACCCTTACCTATAAAAATAACACACATTCCTTGGAAAGAAGTGTTACAGCTAAGGAGATCTTAAGAGACTTCAGGAAATAGGAGGTGTTCTTATAAAACTCTGCTGCACTTCTATCATCATGGGTTAAGAGGCTGGTCACTGACTAAGAGTCCAACTCTACCCCAAGAGTTTCCTTTTCATTTTCTTCATTTTTTGGAAACAAAGCACAGAAGAATTAAAAGCACTGTAGGTGCATTAAGTCTACTGTTGTCTCTATCCAAATGTTCCCAGCATCTGTACATGGATGAACACTGAGCTGTGGTTCACTCTTAGCAAAAATTGTAGCTGTTGGTTCTGATTGTATTCTCGCCAGCATTCCACGGAGAGAAGGAAGTGGGGGAAGTGGTGGGTGAGAGAAAGAGAGGAGGAGGGAGAAAGGAAAGGGCAGGGCAGAGTGTTTCAAGTTCCCAGTTGGTTTTGGCCTCTGGCTCCCTTCAGGAGTGGAAAGGAGCTCACGAGGAAGGCTCTTCATTCCAGTTCTTAAAGAAAATCAAGCTCCAAAGCCTGGTGAAGGGACACTAGGTCTCCGTGGTTTGTGATCCTCCAGAAAGGCATGTTGTGCTGCAAGAGAGGGAGGACAGCAGGTTAACCCAACTTGTTTCAGAAGCTTATGTTCATTCATAGCCCTTCCTCCCTGAAGTACTTGGTAACTCACAGTATTGTCACAAGGGTGGCTTAAGTCGTATGTACAAGGACTTTGCACATTATAGGACATTTTATAAATGCGAGAAATTTTTATTAGGCTTCAGTGGTAACTCTGTGCTTTTGACCTACTTATTCCAGCTATATATAAGGTCTTCAGGATCAAATAAAATGGCCAAGATAAGAAATTAGATAGGAGGGCCAGGAATTTAGCTCAGTGGTGCTGCCGCCTGCCTTGTAAGCACAAGGTCCCGCGTTCAATCCCTGGTACCAAAAAAAAAAAAAAAAGAAAGAAATTAGATAGGAAATTTCTAACACTAATTTGTTAGAAAAATGATAGAAATACAAAAAATCTTAGCAATCTATTGTACATCTCTAGTGTTTCCTTTCCTTCTTCCATTTTTATTTAAAGAAAAAGAAAAATGATCATTTGTAGAAGATTAGTGTCAGTATAAGTCTACATTGTCTTGCAGACAATTTCCTGTAACTTTCAGAGTTACAGGGTCTAAGTCTTGTCCATGTCCAAAATGTAGAACAAATAGATCTGGGAAATAATAGTCTCATCATATTGTATGGTCAGAATCTTGTTAAGAATACTGTGCTTGTTCTAATCCACAAATTCAAAGGACAGCTTTGATAAACCGAGTACTATAAAACCATGTTCCATGAAGTTAAAGGCTTTACTGATTATCTTGTTCAAATTGGTTGTTCAAGTTACTCACAATGCTGAGGTCCTATAATACAGTTCTTTTGACAGCCTTTTTTTCATAGTATAAAAACAAGGAAGCAGATTTCCTGTTATGCTTAGGAGTGCCAGACTAGGATTAGTATGTAAAAGAGAGAAATATTTGCTCAATGGAAGGAGTGACACCTTAACAGCTTCCGTAACCTCATGGTGGAACAGGGTACCTGTGAATCAGTCCTCGACCTTGGCTATACACATGTAATCTTCTGTTGGAGAGGCCACAAGAAAGATTCCCACACATGAAGGGAGTGGATGGAATAAAGTGTTAGGAAAATTTCCAACTGGTACTTTCTTTTTTTTCTTTTTTTTTTGCAGTGCTGGGCAATGGACCCAGAACCTTGTGCATTCTGGGCAAGTGCTCTGTCACTGAGCTTCATCTCAAGTCTCAGTGGGTATATTTTATGGTAAGTGGGTACAGACATCCGCTTAGAAATGCCAAGACTCTCTGGCCTACTATTTCCTGTGTTACAAAGGGGTGGGACCAGCAGAGTGATGGTGTTATCATCACAGCAAACTTTTGAGGGATCAAAAGCAGGAAGGACTTTTTCTACAAAAACAACTGCCAACTGATTATATATTTTTTTCTTCCTCAGAATCTGAAGCCTGGAAAAATCAGAATAATTTGCCTTTTTGCAGTTAAGTAGGATGTTCTTGAGACGGCAATGCAGATGACACTGGGACCATTTCAGGTTTAATGATGAGAATCTCTGTAGCAGGGCATAAAGCTTTTAAGATTCTTGCGTGGCAGGGAGGAGGGGTAGAGGAGGATCTAACAACTTATAGAGAAACTCCACTTGGAGAAAAAGTGATCTTCTTTTTCTTTAAAGAAAACTAGAAGAAGAAAAGGAAACATTACAAATGCCTAATAGATTGCCAATATTTTGTACTTTTCTATTTTTCTAATTGCTTGATGCATACCACCTAGGCTACCTTTACTGCTGTTACCTGTTTGGCTGCAATTTCTTCATCTCGTCCATCTCCAATCACTACATATGTGACTTTCTTTCCAAACCTTGACACAATTCTCTCAAAGCAGCTCTCTTTACCTGATAAGAAAAAGAAAGCTGCCGTTAGGATATTCTTTCTTCTTCCCCCCCCACCCCAATACTGAAGAAAAGGACTGCTGCTAGGTTTAACCATCTATACTCAGACAAGTGTCGGCTCATGTAGTTTGCTTGGTGAGGAGTTAGGAATGGGAGCCAGAGAATCTAGTAGATCTTTCACCCAGCGAATGTGAAATCATGTCATTATGCCAACAACAACTTTTTAAAACTTTCACACAGAGGATGAAGTCCTTAAGATCTTGGCACAAGGTTATTTCTTAAAATGGCAGGTGATGGAGCGAGGCTGTGTGAAAGCTGTGAGCCTCACCTCCCTTGCTGTTCATCTCCTGTACTTTAACAGCTTACAAAGCACTTGTTTATTCATTCTTTCATTTAATTCTCAAAATAATCTACTGAGATGAGTACCATTCCCCACTTTACAGAAGACAATGGGACTCCAGGTTAGTGACTTGTCCTAGATCTCAAACAAGTCAGTAACTAGAATTTGGACTTAGGGGCCCTGACTCTAGGTTCGAGCCCTTGTGTCATGATTTTTCTGTTTTTTTTTTTTTTTTTGGTACGATGGATCGAACTCGGGTCCTTGAGCTTGTGCAGCAGGCAGCGAAACCACTAAGCTAAATCCCCGGCCCCTATGTCATGATTTTTCTATTTATTTATTTGAAGTTCAGCATTTTCTTTTTTTTGGTATTGGGGATCGAACTCGGGACCTTGCACTTGTGCAGCAGGCGCCAGAACCACTGAGCTAAATCCCCAGTCCAATTTATTTATTTATTTGAGACAGGGTCTCATTGTGTACCCTATCCTGGACTTGAACTCACAATCTTCCTGCCCCAGCCTCTCAAGTAGCTGGGGTTACTGTTGTGCACCACAGTGAATGATTTCTTCAAGTAAACATTTTAAGGTGGGAAAAAGAGGTGAAAGCTTAAGGCCTGGATTTCTTGTCAGAGATAAATTACAGGCAAAAAGCTATTTTCCTCCAAATTCTTCATTTTCCTAAAATGGTCCTGACCATTTAATGGGTCTTGTGTCTTCTAGAGGCATAATCCCCAAAAAGGGAACTAAGAAAAGTGACCAGTTAATATGACAGCAACATTTGTCACACTGAAAATCTCCTCACTTACTACACTTTGCAGTTGTAACTGAGATACTGCATCACTAAGATTGACCTTGGGAAATGAGTGATTTAAATCCACTGGAGACAGTCCTGAATTTGATGTCAGTGTATCAAAATCAAATCCCACCTGGAACTAATACTCAAGACATGCACAGATGATGACGCTGTGGGAAAGAGAACTTTATTTGCATAAATAAAAAGAAATTATATCCCCTGCTCTTTCTTTACCATCTCTGTACTTCATTTTTCTCTGCTCCTGCCTGCTTCTTCAGTTAAGCAAGGTCCTAACTTTACTTTCTTCTTCATCCTGCTCCATTAACCTCATTCTTCCTTCTTGCCAGATGCAGGGACTTAACACCATCTGGTTCCTGTGTCAAGATAAAAGTACCCCTTCCTCAAGACACTTGACTGCCACCTGCTGGAAAGTGACTGTAACACATATACAAAGACTAAGGACTACAGCAAGTTCCAGAGTTGAGAACTTTCACAGACGGGAATGGACCTTGCATTAAAAGCATTCATAGATGAGAACAAATCTCAGGAGTGGCTCTCATGTCTGCTGGACATTGTCACAGTTGTGCTGCTGTGTACTTACTGTACAGTGTGAAAGTGTACAGTAGGACAGCGCTCAGTCAGAGCACAGGATGTCCAGAAGCAAGAGGGAAAGCAGTGGTGATGTGGAGGGGACTGCTGGAAGCACAAAGCTATAACCACAGAAACAAAAGTGCAAATAACTGAGAGATTAGAGTGAGGTAAAAGATGGTAGATGTCATTTCACCATGTTCCCCCTACTCTCCCTTCTCCAGTTAATAACTCTCTTCTCGCCAGTTCACTCCATGTGATTCCCTAGATCACAGCTGTTGTACTGTACCACCATTTTAAAGTAACTGTAAGAGTAAAAGTAGTTTATTTACAGTATTTGTGTGTGCATTTGATTTTATGTTTTACATTGTCTATTTGTGTCAAAAGTGTATGAGATTCACTCTGTTAGACTTACGACTGAATCTGACTTATGAATATTCTCCCGGAACAGAACTTGTTCGTAAGTCGGGGACTCACTGTAGAAAGGGTTTTTTTTGGAGACAGGGTCTGCACGTGCAGTCCAGGCTCGCCTTGAACTTGCAATGATCCTCCTGCCTCAGCCTCCCAAGTGCTAGGATTACACGTATGAGCCACCATGTCCAGCCTTACTGTATAAAGTAATAGACAAGAACCCCACTTCCATACTCAGAAGTCCTTTTGCTCGGCACTTCTGAGCAACTGCAAATCTCTGATATCCCTGGCCGGAGTGGCACCCCCAACCAGATGGACCAGTGTCCTTGATCAGACACTAATCCACTATGGGTTTCAGTCTCCCACTTGTAACACAAGGCTGGGCTTAGGAGCATTTAGGTGCTTTAAGTGCTAATGTTTCACGGTAACATAGCCATTCTTTACTTCCCTGTGCAGAATTCAGTTATGTTTCCTGAGTAAATGCATATTAAGCTTACAAATGACTCAGTGAAAGACTGCAGTCCATTCATTGAGCACCAACTTAGTTCAAACATTAAATAATTCAATAGTGAATTCTTACTATGTTCAAAGTGTTAAAGAGTTTGTTTTGTTGAGACAGGGTCTCACTATGTAGTTCAGGCTGGCCTTGAACTTATTATGCAGCCCAAGCCCACCTCAAACTTGTGATCCTATTGCCTCAGGCTCCCAAGTGCTGGGATTACAGGCATGTGCCATGCCCAGGTGAAGAGTTCTTTGTCTGATTCCATTCCAACCATTACAGCTTTATAGCAGTGGTGGCAGACCTACGGCATGTGTGCCACAGCTGGCTGTTTATTATCACTGAAAGCTCTAAAATAGTGGGGGTACCTGTGTTGTTTTTCTTTTAAGACAAAAGATGTTAATGTATGAGTTGTTTTTTCTAAACTAAAACCTCAGTATTCAGGTTTAATTGCAGAGCTGGCACTTTGTGATAAATAAGTGGGTTTGGGGTTGCAGTTGGGCACTCATCCCTAAAAGATTCATCATCACTGGCTATAGAAAAGAACTTCTGTTGGGGATGAGCTCAGTGGTACCGTGCCTGCCTGACAAGCACAAAGTCCTGAGTTTGATCCCTGGTACCACCAAAAAAAAACCCAAAAAAACTTCTGACTGGGATTTCAGACTTTTTCTTAAGACCCAGCAAAAGGAGCATCCCTTTTAGGGACAAAGACACAGAGACATTTTCATTGCCCTGGCATGCACTTATCAGGGATGAAATACACTGTAGAACGTCCCTTCTGAAAGAATTAAGACACTAAGAGAGTTCTTAACAGCCCAAGGTGAAGCAGCAACTATAGGACTATGGACACAAAAACATGACCCCAATAAAGTTGGTAAAATACTTTCATGTATCTCTCAAAACAATCCTGGATATGTGCTTTCCTGTTCAGGAGGATAAATCAAATGATACAAGTCAGTTTACCCAATGCCCAGGACTGAACTGGTGAACCACAAGACCAACCAAGCCTTTGGGAGAATAAAGAGTTCCTGGGTTCTCTCTAACAAAAGCACTGGTGACGCTTTCAGAAATGATTTTGAGAATTCTCTTTTATGTCCAAGATCACAGAGTAACCACAGAACTATATACACAGAATCCACCCAAAACATGTATACTCCAGGAAAAGAAAATTTTGCTTCCTAGATTTTTTTTTTTTTTTTTTGGTACTGGGGATCGAACTCAGGTCCTTGGGCTTGTGAGGCAGGCGGCGGAACTACTGAGCTAAATCCCCGGCCCAGGAAAAGAAAATTTTGTATAAATATTTTAATACTAAATTTATTGAGACGAGTATGGTGGTGCAACACCTGTAATCCCAGCACTCAGGAGGCTGAGGCAGAGGGATTGCCAAGAGTTTGAGGCCAGTCTGGGCTACATAGTGAATTCAAGGCCAGACTCCTGCACTACAAAGCGAGACCCTGTCTCAAAAAAAAAAAAAAAAAAAAAAAATCAAGACATCATGGGATTAATACAAGTTAACTTTGGGCCCTATATTACAAAAGGTTCTCAAAGTGGTGGCCATTAGCTTCCAGACATTTATTCGTGCAGCAAACTGCTAAAGTGTGCATACATTTTTTGGGGAAAACTCTCTATATTTTTTCATGGTCTAGGGATTGAACCCAGGGCTTTATACACATTAGACACGCACTCTGCCACTGAGCCACATCCCCAGCCCAAGAGAACCATACTTTTGAAATCATTTCAGAGGAACTGAAACAATCGCTCCTCTCTCGTCCCACTGCAGCTTCACAAATTAGCTCAGGATGAAACAAGACTGAGGAAAGTCACCAAATAAGCACACTTACTGTCAGAAGGAAGAAAATCATTTCCATTCACTTGATGAGCCTGTGGGTGCCAGGACTTGGTATAGTGAACGCTACAGAAAATCTACCTGTCAGGTGTGGGGCCTCACAGTGAGTGCTCTGGGCTCCCATGAGGTGCACAGTAAAGCAGCAGCGGCGACAGTGATCTGAAGGGAGCTTTCAAGCCCATTCTCCTGGTACCCTCTCCCTTGTAAATGAGACATTCAATCATATTAAAAAGTATGGAGAATAAAAAACCCAAATACCTGAATAGCTACCTACCACCAACTCAGTTCTGTCAAATCTTCACCTTTGCTTTAAAAAGCCATAAGATTACAGACCTACTTGAAATTTCCTAAGTACTTCTGAAAAGTGCACATTTTAAACTTTTATATAAATATTATACTCTATATTATCTATTTGCAAGGTATTTTTCTTTTCATCTATGTTCAACACTGGTTTTTATATTCATCCTCATCATTTGAGTTCATTCACTTTTTAAAAAAATTTTTTGCAGCACTGGGGGTTGAATGGAGGGCTTTGCACATGAGAGGCAAGTGCTATTCCAATAAGCTGTATCTCAGCCCTAGTCCATTTGCTTTTAACTGCAATATAATATTCTATTGTTTGACTATTTCTGTTTATTTTTTGCCTATAGACAGGTCCACAGATCACTTTTTTTTTTTGGTACCAGGGATTGAACTTGGGTCCTTGCGCTTGCTTGTGCAGCAGGTGGCGAAACCACTGAGCTAAATCCCCGGCCCACACAGACCACTTTTTTCAGTTATTTTCTACTATAAACAAGGCTGTGTCAAAGAAATCTCTGCACATGTCTCATTATGCACGTGAGAATTACTCAAGGGCAGGGAACAACAAATTTTTTCTGCAAAGAATCAAAGAGTAAATATTTCAGGCTTTGCAGGCCAGGTAGTCTCTGAGGCAACTATTCAATTCAGCTTCTGCAGTGTGAAAGAATGCAGCTACGTAAATGAATGGGCAAGGCTATGTTTCAATAAAAGCTTATGAAAACAGGCAGGAGACAGGATGTGGCCCATGGGTTGTAATTCGCAGATCTCTGCTCTGAAGTGTGTATGTGTGCATGCGTATATGGAATTGCTTGATCAACTGCATGGTCAAATTGTATTAGACAGTAATAAACTGTTCTCTAAAAAAGTTTATATCTATTTTCAATCTCTCCTGTAACAAAGTTTAACAGACTTTTCACTGTCAGATTTGAATTTCTGTCTGACAGGAGAAAAAGGCTCAACATTTTAAATTTGCACTTCCTTAATTTGCACATTCTTAACTGGTGAAATTAAGGAATTTTCATGTTTACTGACAGTCTGGTGTTCCTTTTCTACAAACTAGCTGTTTCAAAGTATTTGGCTGTTTTTCTTCTCTTTTTTCTCTTTTCTTTTTTTAATTTTTTGAGACAGGGTCCTACTATGTAATTCAGGCTGGCCTTGATCCTCTTGCCTCAGGCTAGTTTTTGCCTATTTTTTTTTTACAGGCAAAACATTATTTACTGATTGGCAAAAGTTGTTTATAAATTCTGTATATTAATTTTCAAATGTGTTGCAAATAGGGCCAGGGATTTAGCTCAGTGGTTTCGCCGCCTGCTGTGCAAGTGCAAGGACCCAAGTTCAATCCCCGGTACCAAAAAAAAAAATGTGTTGCAAATATCTTCTCCCAGTCTGTGCTTTAATGACTTTTTTGTTTTTAATAATATCTTTTGCCTCATGTAAAAGATATTTAAGATCACACAGATACTCTTCTATATTTTTTTCTGAAAAAGTTTTGCTTTCCATGTCAAGTTTTGAATTTATCTGGAATTTATTTCTGCAAGTGGAAGGAAGGAAAATAATTGTGCTTTTCTTCCACATGGATAATCCAGTTATCCTAACAGCAATGGCTGAAATAAAGAGGATTTTATCACTGCTGTATTCCTAGTGCCTTGGGAATATCTCCTCTGAATATATCTCCTGTCAGCTCTGCCTCCATACTGCGACCTAGTAACGCTAATACCTGGTCCAAGCCACCCATGATTGATGGCTGAATTATTAAAATAACCTCCTAACTTGTCTCCTAGCCATCCTCAAGAACCTGCAGAGCAGCAAGACTAATCTGTTCAAAGTGTAAGTCAGATCATGCCACTTCTCTTCCTTTTTTTTTTTTTGGTACCAGGGATTGAACTTAGGACCTTGTGCTTGCGAGGCAAGTGGCAGCACCACTGAGCTAAATCCCCTGCCCTACTACTTCTCTTCTTAAAACCTTACAATGACATTTCATTCTATAATGCCTTACAGTATCTCCCCACCCTTTCCTTTAACCCTTCGGACCATATTCTTACTATTCTTTTCTCCCTTGCACTTCCCTGAACATGCCTCCAACCTTTTCCATTTTTTCCTTCCTCTTCTTGGTAGGTCTTTCCTCAGATACAGACTAATGGCTCCCTTCCTCCTTTAGGTCTTTGTTCAAAAGACACCTGTTCATGGAGACACCTATCCCTAAGACACCTATCCCTACTTGGCAATCCTATGGGCTGGGGATGTAGCTCAGTGGTAGAGTGCTTGTCCAGCAAGTGCAAAGCCCTGGGTTTAATCCTCAGAGCTGCAAAAAACCCCAAACAACATGACCCTAACTTGTCTGATTTTTATCCATAGAACTTGTTACCATCTGATATCTTTTGTTTGTTTACTGACTGGCTCCTCCCACTATGGGCAGCCCCCACCATGTATCCTCAGTTCTTTTTTTTTTTTTGTACTGGGAATCGAACTTGGGATCTTGCACTTTCGAGGCAGGTGACAATACCACTGAGCTAAATCCCCAGCCCACGTATCCCCAGGTCTTAGAATAATGATTGGCACATGAAAGGGGGTCAGTAAATGTTTGAAGGAGAGATGGAGGAAGGAAAATGTTAACAGGATCTAATGGGCTTACTTATGATCTCTACAGATGCTGGAATATTAAAAAAATTAGATGCATTTTTTAGTGGAAAAAGGTGATCAACAGGCATATAGTAGATGAAAAAATAATCAGGGCTCATCTTTAAACTCCAAGGTCCTCTTCTTTGTTACAACAGAGAAGTAGGGACTATACATACAGAGTGAAAGGATGCGGTAAGGGAGCGGGTGCCTTACCCTTCTCTCCCTAGACCACATTCAGCATGCAAGGAGTAGAGCGGGACAGTCTGCTCCTTTCCAGCTGCACAAGCTGGCTTTAACAAGTAATTGCATTCAGTACTTACTAAGAACTCATCATTTCATATACTTATTATTAAATACATCTTTTAGGGTTAAAAAGAACCATGATATACACAGTTTAATTTGATTTTTGCAACTTGCCTCATAGATTCTTATTTCATATGAGAAAACTGAGGCTTAGGAAAAAAGACATTTTGCCTATGGTAAGAGCTAGTAAGTGGGGGAGCCAGGAAGACTTGAATCTTGGTCCTGGATTTTATTTTTCAAACTTGTGCAAAATATGTGTAACAGCCAGGTGCAGTGGCACAAGCCTGTAATCTCAGATACTTGAGAGGCTGAGGCAGGAAGATTGCTTGAGTCAAGGAGTTTAGGGCTAACCTGGGCAACACAGTAAGATGCTATCTCTTTAAAAGAAGTATAACATAAATTTACTAATTTAACATTTATTTTTTAAAAATCATGGTTAAAAAGTACATAACATTTATTATGTTAATCATTTTCAAATACAGAGGTCAATACTGTTAAGTATTCTCACACTGCTGTGCAACAAATTTATCATCTTGCAAAACTGAAATTCTAGATCCACTAGACAACTCCATACTTGCCCCCCTCCTAGTAACGACTATTCTACTTTCTGAGTCTCACTACTCTAAGTCTCTCATATGGAGAATCATACAGTATTTGTCTTCTTGTGACAGCCTTATTTACTTAGCATATTATCTTCAAGGTTCATCTAAATTGCAGTATGTGAGAGGATCTTTACCTTTTAGGCTGAAGAATAATTCACTGTGTGGAACACCACATTTTGTTTATCCATTCATCCACTAATGGACACTTGGGTTGTTCTGCCTCTTGGCTACTGTGAATAATACTGCTATGAACCTGAATGTAGAAGTATTTCTTTGATATCCTGCTTCTGGATATTTGGACACAACTCAAAACTCTGAGACTCAATTCTTCTGGCTATTTCCCCAGAAGTGGGATTGCTGGATCATACAACAGTTCTATTTTCAATTGTTTTGAGGAACCATCATACTGTTCTCCATAGTAGTTGCACCACTCTATAATCCCAACAGTGCACAAAGTTCCAATTCTTCCATACTTCTTGCTAACACTTCTTACTATTTTTTGATAGGAATTTTTAAGTATGTAATTTAGTCTTTGATTTCTAACCCAGTGCTTTTTCTATTACATTACATATTTTCTGTGAGAAAGAGAAATTTGACATGAGGTAAAAATAGATTTCTAAGCTAGAAATTATGTTCTTTCAAATACTGTAAGAGAAAGCAGCATATTTATGTAATTTACTAGCTGTGAATCCTTCAGCAAGCAATGTAACTGCTAAGCCTCAACTGCCCTTCATCAGAAACATCAGATGACTTATAATGAATATTGCTATATACACAAGCTGTCTAACAGAGGAGCTGGCAAATAATACATTCATGAGTAGAAAGTTTTATTGGAAGGCCAGTGATGAGAAAAAGAATAGAAACCATACCAATTTTGGTAGCACTATAGATGTTTTCAATAGGAAATATTTCTCCTAGTCCATATAGGAGAACCTTGGCCAGGGCTGGAACCAGTTGGGTGGTAGTGATCAGAACATTCACACAATTCTTTCTAGAAGGGAATAAGAAGGAAAAGAAAAAATGGTGAAATGAAACCAATCTGGGAACAAGAATTCAAACGCACCAAATCTAGGATTTAACTATTAAAAATTACCTTCAAAGGGCCTAGTATTATTGTTCAAGTTATTACTCTTATTACTTCAAGTTTTGATTTCAATATTAAAGGGCACAAATCTTGTTTTTTGTTTCTTAATGGACCCAGAGCTGCAACTTAATTCATCTCTTACTTCCCTTCTGACCCTTCCAGCTGAAGTTTTTATTTTCTTTTTCTTTTTTTTCCTGGTACCAGGAATCAAATTCAGGACCTTGAGCTTGCCAGGCAGGTATGGCGCCACTGAGCTACATCACTGGCCCTGACCATTTTAGCTTATTGCAACTTGGTAGCAAATACCACTAACTCATATTGTTAACATCAAATTTTAGAAAACAAATAACAGCTCTCAATTACTGTTCTATTTAATCTGAATGTAATTCAGCCTATGAGATAGGATTTAAGTTTTCTGATGTTCACATAACAGCATTTGAGATTGCAGAATAGCCAGTAATTCCACAAGATTCACCCCTCAGTGTTAGTTTACTGCTTACTAGGCTATGGATCTGGAATACTTGCTTTGAGGGAGGAAGAATAGGGTACTGATACAGATATGGTTGCATTTATTTCTCAGTCTAAGGTTTAAGCTGAAATCTCCTTAATATGCTTAACGTATCCTTTCTCTTTTGAATTTTCCCTTCTTGAGTGGGTTGGGGTAGATTTCTTGGAGCTTCTTGTAACTTAGGATATTTGTGATATGTGTCCTACTTGTATTCTTTGATTCCTCATCTCCTGGCTTAAATTTTAGTTTGCAAGCAAAAAGTAAAGGGAAAGAAAGAGGGTTTCAGGTATAGTCTCTTAAAACTTTCATGAGTGCTATTACCATAAAATGACCTTACTTCTTACCTAAACACGTCCCTGAATCATTTAAACACCTCTTGCCTCTATCCTGAGCTATTTTTAGAGAATTGTCTAGTTTGGACTGGGTAGGAAAGAGTGTGTCTCTGAGAGGAGGAGACCTAAAAAGAATCATTTCCATACCTGGATTGGATCAGAAGTAAGGATTTTAAGGCAGTTCCTAACCAGGAATCTGTTAAAACTTCAATTTCTGCTCTTAATCTTTGCAGTGCTTCTTTTCTCTGGGGACTGAGGAGGCCTTTAGGAATAAAAGCAGAGACATTCACCATTTGACAATGCACACTTGATGAGACTTTTTTCTTTTTTGGTACCGGGGATTGAACTTTGGTCCTTGTACTTGCACAGCAGGTGACGAAACCACTAAGCCAAATCCCCGGCCCCACTTGCTGAGACTGATAAAGCAACTTATTCGATTTAGAAATAGTCTGAGTCCCTGAGCAATACATTTCTCTTCTTGGAAAAATCATATAGTAATGCAACTCAAAATGCTATTTTTACTTTCTTCATCAAAATGTTTTGCTATGGGAACACAATCACAGCAACAAGATCACCTGGTAGCCAGGTATGGTGGCACATGCTTATAATCCCAGCTACTCACTCAGAAGGCTGAGACAGGAGGATTGCAAGTTTGAGGCCAGCCTGGGCAACACAGTATGATCCTGATTTAAAATGAAGTAAAATGTGGATCAGCGGTTGGGAACTTGCCTAGCATGAGCAAAGCCTGGGTTCAAAGTCCAGTATCACAAGAAAAAAAATCAAAAGATCAGCTGGTAGAAACATATTTGGGTTCTGGTACAAGCTTCTTTCATCACCACCTAGTATAATCTGCAATCTCAAGGTCCACATTTGAGTAGCACTGCTTTAAGAACCAAGGAGGGATCAATGAATGATATAGCTAAAAGAGTTCTCAGCATTTCTACTCTCTTTCTAAAGAAATCAAAGCCTAGGGAGAAAAGGGGGCTTGTCTAACATTATGTAGTAAGTTAGGAGATTGTGGTCTTAGAAGTCTTTTTACCACTATGTATAACTCCATGGTGACTGCATTTCCTTCCAACTGCTTCAGAACCTATTAGTCAAGATTCCAGGTTGAAGGATCAATTCTTTGCACTGTACTTATGACTCCAGCTGATATACTAAAACACTGTCTAAAACTAGGCAACTAAGCACAAAACAGAAGTCATATGATGGGACCATGTTGTCAGACACTTGAGTTATAATATTCAAACATTAAGTCTGGCTCTGAATTTTTCTGTAGTGAAAGTTTTTTTTTAAAGTCCTGTATTCTAGTAACAATACTTCATAAAAACCAAAGGCACTTCTGTGAGGAAGACACTGGGCGTATAATTCAGGTTTACAGTTTCACAATGCAAGCCTAGAATCAGGCGACTCTTTTATTTAACATTTTGGATAAAATAAAACATCAAAACCAGTACCATATACTTAATATATGGTATGGTACTTTTGTTAGTTTATGTTGGACAGAACATACAGACAGACATTACTTTTAATCTTTTTCCCAAAGTAGGCTTAGGAGACTCAAGAGAGGGTTACATCATTTTCTTCAGAAAGCTAGGTTTAGGTACTAAGCAGGGAAAGGATCAGAGACTTAGGTTGTATGTGAAAATAACAAAAGAAAGGCCAATGTCTGTGAGAGGAGAAAAGTAAAAAGACTTGGAAATAAAAAATAAAAAGTACTGACTCTGAGTCATGAGAAGAAATAAACAATGAAAAGAGAATCTGAAAAAAGTAAATTAGATTCCCAAATCTGAAAGCCTATGAATTTCAGCTGGTATTAGAGGGCTAAAAGAAGATTGAACAAGATCAAACTTCAAAGCCTGTTTCTACTTTCTGCACCATACCATACTGTAAGGGAACATGGTGTAATAAAAGGCTCTTGACCTGGAGGAGTGAACCTCTAGCAATCCCTGAGACTTCAGGCAACATTTGTGTGTATGTGTATCTTTGTGGGTGATGGTTCACAGTTTCAAATATTTTCTCATTAGGGTACCTCACCAAAAAAAAAAAAAGAAACTACTCAGTAAAAAGGAACTGAGTGAAAAGTCAGATGTGGCACAGCTACTCACATGCTATGTGACAGTGGGTAAGATGACCCCTCCCCTATATGATAGATATTAATTTCTTAACTATGCAATGAGGTATTTAGATCATATCTTCACTGTCTCTTCTCATTTGAATAGTTTATGATTAATCAATTCCAAAGAACAGAATTTGATGCATACCTAACATCTGATATATTTCTGAGCAGGGAGAATTTCTGAGGTCTTTCAAATTATAACACATGGATAGTCAATCTATAATCCTGGATTGAGTTTTCCATCTACTACAAATGTAGTAACTAGTTCTACTTGACTTGTACTGATGGTACAAGAAATCAGGCACCAAAATGTGGTAGCCTATTAACTACTCTTGACAGTAGCTGTAACTTAGGAATAAAAAACATGTTATCAATCTATAGAACACATTTCCTTTAAAAAGACATCTGTCTAAAGAGAACAAGAGAACTTTCTAAAGTTATGCTAAGAAAAATTAGAAATGTAGAATTTTCTCTATTACTTTATTTATTCTAAAGTTCACTGAAAGTGCTGAGATTTCTCCTCAGAAGGTTTCAGTTAGACCCCCATTTTTTTTATACAGAGTTAACATATTCACTGTGGCATAAATTCATAAGTAGTTGGCTAGGGGGAATCTAGGAATCCCTGCAAAAGGAAAGGAAGCAATCAGGAAGAGAGACTCAGGCTGGTTGTACACCACACTTACCACCCACATTGCTCTTATGCTTATCGTAGATCTCTCTCACTTTCCGGTAACGGAAAGCCAGTTTCCTCATCCAGTCCACACCGCCCTGGACGCCCACAGAGGAGCCATGGCTACCGCTGCTGCCAGAACCACTGAAACCATCTGTTGAGAAACTATAGTTGCTGCAACAAGGAGGATAATGCAAATTAAAATCTGTACATCATGCAGTTTTTAAGTGCTACCTTGGGATTCTCTTGTCCTATTCTTGGTATCTGATAAAGGTGATGGTTTAAAAATCTTCTGAAGGTGGGTGGATGTTAGCACATGCCTGTATTCCCAAGACAGTAGAAGTTGAGACAGGAGGATTGTGAGTTCGAGGTCTTTGTACATCAGTCTGTCTTAATTAGTTGTCTATCTTACCCCTATTATTTCCATTAAAGAAAGGACAGAGGGGCAGGAGGTGTAGCTCAGCAGTAGAGCTTGTACTTAGTGTGCACAGTCTTAGGTTCAATCCTCCTACAGAGGGGAGGGTCAGGGAGAGAGACAGAGAGAGAAAGGAAAAAAAGAGACTGGGAAGAAGGGAAGGTGAGGTAGAAATAATTCAAGCACTTGCATCCCCTAGCGGTTGACTTGGGACAATGTACTTTTATCATTAATGCAGAGAACAGAGAATAACAGAGTGGAAAAAAAGCAGAACATAAAGCTGATGATTGATCACAACTATGCAAATGTTATAATTATATTAAAAAAGGAGACAAAAATAATAAAATAATAGAAGGAAATGCTAATAATGGTGAGGAGATAATGGTAGATGTATTTCTTCAGTGATCTGCTGGCTAATTTTTAAGCTTATGGGTGACTAATAAGTACTGGCTTCAAAATGTCCACAAATTTCTGATACTCTTCTAATTCTGCTCCCCTTGGGAATGGGCTATAACTAGAATGTAAAAAGAAGGTGGTGAAAGTGATAGTATTCAACTTTAGAGATAGTTTTTTTTTTTTGCTTGCTCCTGGAGTACTTGCTCTGGAAGAAGCCAGCTGTCATATAAGCACATTCAAGCTTCTCTGTGGAGAGGGACACAAGTGAGGAACTAAGGCTTCCCGTCATTAGCCTCATGTAAGAGGCAGGTCCTCCAGCTCCAATTAAGCCTTCAGATGAATCGAGCTCTAGCCAACACCTTGATCTCAACCCTGGTGACCCAGATTAAGAACTCCTAAGCGGCTTTCAAATTCCTGACCTACAGAAAACTGTGAGATGATAATTGTTTGACTTTTTAAAGCTACTAATGGGGATAATTTGTTATATACCATATAACAATACAGCTATATAAACTGCGAAGGATTAATACTTCATAAATACAGACTTAAAAATAAGTGACAGAATTAGAGACAACATGGTTCAATCCAAAGTCAAAATAGAGTTCAATACATTAAGTAAGAGATTCTGTAAGAAAATAAAGCTAAGAAATAAAATCGGTAACTATGGGTTAGCTACATGTCTAAGAGAAACAAAATAACCACAAAAACTGGGGTTCGGAGCAGAATACAAATAGCTTCTTTCTAAAAAGACCAATAAAAGCTCTTAAGAACGGTGACCTGCAGGACTGTGGGAAGAACAACATGCACAACTGAAGGCAGCTTCTGAAAAGGAAACTTTTCAGTCTTCTCAGCACTACATGATCTTGTCCTTACTAAGGTACTATGTCCAGTTCTGCTCTGTATTTGAGAATTCATAGATGTAATACTTAATTTTAGAGTAGTCCCAAGGAAGAACATTTTACCTATGAAAATGGATAAAACATTAAAACAAAGTAACATGAAAATATGTGACAGTCTTTTCCTAAGAGTCTTTAAGTATAAAGCAGATAAATTTTTGGATCATTGTTAGCTAAGACTATTGGTTCAGTAGCCAAGGGAGGAGTGAGGAGACTGAGCAAGCAATCTGTCACTGAAACTTCCTTAGTTTAATTTTCACTATAATGTAACGGTTAAGACAGTCTTCCGCCGGTTATTCCAAAACCATCTGACTCCCAGTCAGTTTCCATCAACAAAACTCCTGATGTTTATTTGCATCTAAAGTTGTCTAGTCTGGAAGCACATTATCTCCTGACTGAAAATATATCTCAAGAGAAATGGTATAACCATTACTTTGGAAGGGTGTTTCCTCATCCTATCACTGCTACCCCTTGTTGAGGTCCTGCACAGATTCTACTCCTCTGAGAAGCTTCTTGAATGATGTTACCACATGTCCCCTTATCATACCAGAAGTACTTTTTCCTCTGTTCTCCATTCACATATTCCAATGTCACTTTCTCACACTATTATGTTGTGGTTAACTATGTTTGCTTTTGTCTCTTCCAATAGACTGGGAGGTTTTTATGTGCTTTCCTCTAAACCCAGATAGTATCTTTTTGTTTTTTTTTTTTGGTACTGGGGATCGAACTCGGGACCTTGTGCTTGCAAGGCAGGTGCTGGAACCACTGAGCTAAATCCCCAGCCCACCCAGATAGTATCTTGCACATAACAGGAGTATTGATGCTCAAACATCATTGTGTTTATCACCTCAGGTCTTGGCCATTGTCATCTGAAGCCACATCTTCCACATGTACCTGGTCACATTCCTGTTAAAAAACAAAACACACTCTTTCAGCCTGAGAGTAAAAATGCTCTTACTGCCATGACTACCGTAAGATGACTATATACAAGATAATGAAATATCTTATGTGTGGAGGACACTCACTTTCGCCCCCTTGCTGTGCAACTCCCTTGAAAGTCTGATATACATCCCAGTCTTCATGAAATCTTCCTTAACTATTCTATCCCTCAGTTCTGCTTTTATCTCAGCAGTTTATTTCTCCAGCTCATGGGGATAAGCACAACTTCTCTTATCCTGTCATGTGTGTCTGTGTCCTACACTTGACTATAAATACTATTACATTGTAGGCCTTGTGGGGCAAGAGAAACATCTTATATCTCCTCTACACCTTCTAGTCTAGTCCAGTTTCTTTATGTAGCATGTGCCCAATTAATTTTTGTAGATAAAAGAGATCTGGTAGAGTATGATATCAAAACTGAGAATGACAAACTGATAATTTAAACAGACATAAGGGGTCATCTAAATCAATCTCATGTTCTAAAAGGGAGGTGAAATGATTTTTTTTAGGATCATATAGAACTAGTGAATGGTAGAAAGAGACTAGAAAGAAGCTAGATCTTCTGCTTCTATCTAATCCAAGGTTCCTTCCACCAACCCATGCTATTACTGACATAAATGCCACTCCCGTCATCTAACCTGATGGCTGTACTGCTGACACCGCTAGGGTACCTGCATCAGAATCCCCTGGGGAAGTTTTATAAAAATGCATATTCTTGGGTCCATCCCAGACCTATTAGAATCAGAATTTCTGGGACTGAAGTCCTAAAATCTCCATTTTTAAGAAGCTCCCCAGGTGATTCTTATGCCCCCTAAAGTTGAGAACCACTGACCTGGGGGGCAGGAACACATTCAGGTCAAATTCTTCACAGAACTTTCAGTCCTGAGTGAGGACTATGTCTAGAAAATCATTACAAATACAATTTGGCAATAATTATTGGTACATAGTAGGCTTTCAATAACTGTTTGCTGAATAAAAACTATGCTGCCCTGATTTATCAACATGTGAACTAACATTGGCGTTTAGAGCCCCATTAATTTCATTTGTTGGAGAATGTCTGTTCAGTAGAATAGATTGTATTCAAACAGAAACAAGAGCTACTTGGAAGGCTGAGGCAGGAGGATCAAGTTTGAGGCCAGCCTCAGCAACTCAGTGAGACCCTGTCTCAAAATAAAAAGGCCTGGGGATATAGCTCAGTGGTAGAGTGCTTGCCTATCATGCGTAAGGCCCTAGCTTTAATTCCCAGTAGTACAATGAGAGGAGGAAACAGAGAGAGGAGAGGAAAGGGGAAAGAGGAGATGGAAACAGAATTTTGTGTAGGACTGTTCAGAATTTAAATGCACAAAATGAAAAGTCTGTGCTCTCTCCTGTTTCCCAGCAACTCATGCCCCCAGAACAACTATTAGTTCTTTTGTAAAATGAACCTAACTGAGCTTAACTTAACTGAGCCCCAGGATGGGAACATAAACTTTCCCAACCTGAGATTCATATTCTTGTCTTCTGACTCAGGGTCCTGTGCTCTTTCCACTATATTATGTTCACCTTGGAGGTGAACTCAAATGTCAAAGCTAAAAAATTTTCCCACAAACCTCTTAGTGTGTTCTGGTTTACCTGGTGCCTATCTATAAAATTCTGTATATCAAGCTTAACATATACATGGATATAAATATATATATAAAAATACATGAGTTAGAGCAAGCATTTACAAATTAAGACAAATCAAGAGACTTTTAAAGTAGTAAAACTAAAGAACAATAAAAATATAATTGAGAGTACAAATAAACCCATTATTTATCATTATATACTAATCAACCCAATATATATATGTAGTATTGATTAATAAATTGGGATACTGGTTTAAATATCAGTATTTTTCCTGTTGTGTTAGCATTTCCCCTAATACTATATCACTTACAAATAAGCCAACAAAAATCAAATTTTTGAGCTAATAAAACTGAGGACTAAAAAAAAAATTGAGGACCAGAATCAAGACTGGTGACCCAATCATTTCACTATTCCTTCAAGAGGCTATGTAAGCCTGTGGCTGCCAGCCTGTCCTTCCTTACCTTGTTAACTGAACTTTTCTATCCCTACCCTGTCTACCAGGTATCTTCTATTTAAGCACAGGCTCCAAACATTGAACAAAACATCTCACTGAATCACAAAAACAATTTAAGATGCTTACCTCTAAGTCGTTGAAAAATAGATGTGTATCAGCCACTTCAAAAATCATTTCTTCCATTGATAAACCTGAGCCAATCACTACTGTTGGGTCCTGGAAGATAGTAAGAGAAAAAAATGAGTTGGCTTGGTAAGCACAGAACTGATTCTATTTTCAAATATTTCAAAACTGAGGTCAATAGAAGACCAAAATATTTCAAAACAACACAGGCTCACTTATTAACTTCAAATATTATCGATGTAATTTCATTCATAAGAATCTGGGATTGTACAATAGAGAGATTATGGACAGTTAAAAATTTCAAGACAATAGTTTGTAGAAACTATTATTTTCGTCCAAGAAAAGAGAATGTATTTTAAACTATATTATTTAAAAAATTAACCCACTGTTTTACAGTCAAAAAATCATAACCATCATTCTCCTTAAAAACAATCCATTTAATGTTTTTGGAAATTCTCTTATCCAGAGGAAATTCTAACCGTGGCTAAAATACTGCTATTATAATAGGTATTATCCTCTGGTGTCCCCACCACACACACAATATAACACCAGACATCTGATAATCTCAACAACCAGGATACGAAAGACTAAAGAGTCAAAATATCTGCAGGAAAACCAATGCAGGTTTCTTTAAAATGAACCATCAGTTTTTGACTTACAAACTAAAATGTTTTTATAAACATCTTAGTAATATAGTTTATGTTAGCTGGCCAACTTAAGATAGTAAAAGCTTGTGGAAAGCACTCGTAAAAGAAATATCAATGGCACTACAAAATAATTGGCAGTAATGAGATGGCAAAGGTGGTAGATATTTTTATAAAATTTATTTTCAGAACCTCAAAAATATGACCCTGGAGATAATTTAGTGTAGAAATACATAGTTCTAATCTTCTCAAAACAGCTCATTCTTCTGCTACTGATGTTTACAGTAAAGATTAAATAGGTTAAATTTTGAATGCTAAATTTAGTTTCAAAAAGCATGAGTTATAGTTTAGATCTAGAATGTGCCCCAAAACTCTCATGTGCAGAAGGGCTTTTGGAAGGTGATTGGATCACGCGGGTGCTACACTCTTCAGAGTCCATCAATGAGTTCAGCAGCTGAATGTGCTTTTAGGAGGCAGGCCACTTGGGGGCGTGACCAGGAAGGGTGTATCTCTCTCCTCTCTGCTTCCTGATCACCATGATATGAAGTTTTTCTCTATCAGACCTTTCCACCATGCCTTCCTGCCTTGGAGCCAGCTGATAATGGACTGAATCCTCTAAAAACCGTAAGTCAAAGTAAATCACTCATTTAAAGTTGTAGGTGTCTGGTATTGTGTCTCAGTGATGAGGAAAGTGACTAAGACACATATAATCTATTTTAAAATATTTTATCTGTTTATTTACATCTAGCATATGTACGCTGCATTTGGGCTATTAAAAGTGACTTAATCCCAGCACTCTGGGAGGTGGAGGCAGGAAGATTCCTAGTTTGAGTCCCAGCTGGACAACTCATTGACTCAGACCCTGTTTCAAAATAAAAAAGGGCTGGGGGTTGTAGCTCAGTGCAAAGGCTGTAGGTTCAATCCTCAGAACTGGGGGAAGAAAAAAAGAGTGAACTAAGGTTTAAGAAATCAGTCTTTGGAACATAAAATCCTAAGACTTTCTCTGTTTTGAGACTTACTCCTACATTTTATTCTTTGTAACATGCCATACTTGAACAATTTCAGCTCTCAGCACTGGTCCCAGATCTGATCTACACATTCACCATCAACTCTACTTGATCATGTACCCTGCACCTGGTGCCAGCCATCTGGTAAAGTTTTATATGGAGAATTAAAGCAAACAGGGTAAGACAAAGGTGGCAGAGAAAATGATTTTTTTCCTTATTAGAAGAGGGATAGTTATAATGAAGGAATATTCAAATTACCTTTCCATACTTCTGGGCATAGGAACCAGTAAGAAGGGAATGGAAGATGATGATGGTTTCATCCAAGTCCCACAGAAATACCCGCTGTGGGAAGAAAATATTTAAAAAGAAGTATACTAAGTATCTTCCAATCACAATGAAATGAAATAAAACAGAAGGAAAACTGGAAAATTCACAAATATGTGGGGATGGAATAATACAATCTTAATCAATAGGTCAAAGAGAAATCAGAAGTGAGATTAGAAAATATCTTGAAATGAGTGAAAATACAAACACAGAACACTAAAACTTATAGGATATAGTGAAAATAGTACTAAAAGGAAGATCATAACTGTAAATGCATACATTAAAAAAGAAGAGAGTATGGAGTATGTTCTTTGCATAAACAAGGCCATGGGTTCAATTCCCAGTACCCAAAAGAAGAAAGATTTCAAATCTATAACCACATAAACCTAAAGCTAGCAGAAGAAAGGAAATAAAAGTTAAGGCAGAGATAATTAAAATGGAGACTAAGAAGATAGTACCAAAAAGTCAATGAAACCAACAGTTAGTTCTTTGAAAATTACCTACAAAATTGACAACCTTTAGCGAGAGTGACTAGAGGAAAAAAAGGCTCAAATTACTAAATCAGAAATCAAAGTGGAGACATTCCTACCAATTTTACAGACATAAAAAGGATTATGAGCAAAATTATGAACAGTTGTATGCCAACAAATTGCATAACCCAGATGAAATTGTCAAATTCCCAGAAATATACAACACAAAATAATTATACCAAACACTTAAGTAACAATTAACACCAATCTTGCCAGGCATGATAATGCATACCTATAATCATAGCTACTCAGAGTTCCAAGTGTGAGGCAAGCCTGAGGAACTTAATGAGACCCTATTTTAAAATAAAAGGGGATAAGAATGTAGCCCAGTGGTAAAGTACTCATCCAGCATGTGAGGCCTTGGGTTCAACCCTTAGTACAGAGAAAAAAATGAAAAAACAAAAACCCCACCAATCATCTTTCCTAAACTTCTTCCTCCCAAACTGAAGAAGGGCACTTCTTTTTGTTTTTTCTAAGATCAAACTGAAGGCCACACTGAGCTACAGTGGTCTCAGTCTTGAGACAGGGTTTCACTAAGTCACTAAGATGCCCAGGCTGAACTTGAATTTATGATCCTCTTGTCTCAGCTTCCCAGAGTACTGGGATTACAGGTGTGCACCACCACACCTGAAAAGAGAGTATTTCTTAGTTCAGGCAAAGAGGTCAGCATTACCATGACACCAGAGCCAGACTATGATACTATAAGAAAACTATGAGAACTTATAAAACAATATCCCTTATGTTTTTATTTATTTATTTATTTATTTTTGGTACCAGGGGATCGAACTCAGAACCTTGCGTTTGCAAGGCAGGTGGTGGAACCACTGAGCTAAATCTCCGGCCCACAATATACCTTATGAAAACTGATGTAAAAAGTCCGCAAAATAGTAGCAAATCAAATTAAGCAGCATACTAAAATAATTATACATCATGCCAACATGATTAGATTTTAGAAATGTATGTATGGTTTATTCAAAATGCAAAAATTAATCTGTAAAATAGCATATAGATGGGGAAAACTATCTCAACTGATATGGAAAACGCATTTAAAAATTCAACACTTTTTCATGGCAAAAAACAATAAACTAGGAGTAGAAAAGAACATTTTCAACATGATAAAGTCTGCACATGAGAAATCTACAGCTAAAATCATACCCAGTTCTACTCCTAAAATCAGAAATAAGCAAGAATACTAGTTCTCACCACTTCTATTTAACAGAGTACTAGAAATGCTCGCCAGAGCAATTTACCAAGAAATACAAAAAGACAGGCCATCCTAATTGGAAAAGATGAAATAAATTTAATCAGTTTGCAGATGATACAACCTTACACGCAGAAAACCTTAAAAACTTACAAAAATTATTAGAGTTAATAAATTCATTCAGGAATCAGTTTTATTTCTGGATAGGTGCAATGGATAACCTGAAAAAATTTAAAAAACCGTACATAGCATCAAAATGAATAAAACACTAAACATAAATTTAACCAAGGAAGCCAAAAGATTTATACAATACACTGAAAACCATAAAACACTGCTGAAGGAAATTAAAGACAGACCTAAATAAATGAAAAGATATCCATGTTCATGGATTGGAAGATAATCCAAACCAATCAACAGACTCAATGTAATCACTATCAAAATCCCCATTGGGCCGGGGATTTAGCTCAGTGGCCCCATGCCTGCCTTGCAAGTGCAAGGTCCTGAGTTTGATCCCTGGTACCGCAAAAAAAAAAAAGTTGGGCTGGGGATTTAGCTCAGTGCGCCTGCCTCACAAGCGCAAGGTCCCAAGTTCAATCCCCGGTACCAACAAAACAAAACAAAACAAAACAAAATCCCCACAGTGTTTCTTCAAGGAGTAGAAAAACTCATCCTAAAACTCATACGGAATCTCAGTTGACCTCAAATAGCCAAAACATAGTCTTGAAAAAACAAAAATGGAGGATTCACATTTCCTAATTTCAAAACTTACTGGGCTGGGGATGTGGCTCAAAGGGCCAGGGATGTGGCTCAGTGGCATGGCGCTTGCCTGGTAAGCGAAAAGCATTGTTTGATCCTGGTACCAAGCCCCCCCGCCCCCAAGCTTACTACAACATTTCAGTAATCAAAATAGTATGGTACTCAAATAAGATCAGACATAAAGGGCCGGGGATTTAGCTCAGTGGTGCCGCCGCCTGCCCTCCTGCAAGTGCAAGGACCTGAGTTTGATCCCTGCTACCAAAAAAAAAAAGATCAGACATAAAGACCAATGGAATAGAGTTAAGTCTAGAAATAAACACTCACAAATATGGTTAATTAATTTTTGACAAAGATTCCAAAATCATCCAAAAGGAAAAGGAATTTTTTTTTATTATTTTTGTGGTGCTGGGGATCAAACCCTGGCCCTCACACATGCTAGCCAAGTGCTTTACTCCTGAGTTATACTCCCAGATCAAGAAGGTCTTTTCAACAAATGGTGCTGGGAAAACTGGAAATCCATACACAAATGTACAAAGTTAGACCTTACCATATATACAAAATTACCTCAAAATGAATCAAAGGCCTAAATTTAACAATAAACAATTAAAATTTTAGAAGGAGGTGAGAATCTCCATAATGTTGTATTCTTAGGTACTACACCAAAAGCAGAGCAATAAAAGACAAATACTGGATTTCACCAAAATTAATAACTTTTATCCTCCAAAGGACACAAGAGAATGATAAGACAACCTAATAGGGGCTCAGGAGGAGAGTGCCTGCTTACCATTGAGGCCCTGGATTTGATTATTAGCACCAAAAATAAATTAATCACCAGAAACAAGACAAAACAAAAAACAACCAAATACAATGGGAGAAAAATATCTGCTTATCACACGTATGATAAGGGATCAAAAATCTAGACTAGGGATGGGGATTTAGCTCAGTGGTTTTGGCATCTGCCTTGCAAGCGCAAGGTCCTGAGTTCGATCCCTGGTATCAAAAAAAAAAAAAAAATCTAGACTATATCAGCCCAACAACAACAAAAACCAACCCCATTCAAAAATGGGCCAAAGATTTAAATAGCTAGTTCTCCAAAGAAAATATATAAATGGGCAATAAGCACACGGAAAGATGCTCAATATTAATCATTAGGAAAATGCAAATCAAAACCACAATGAGATACCACATTGCACCCATTAGGATGGCTACTATTAAAAAAATGGAGAAATAACAAGTCGGTAAGGATGTGAATAAACCATAACCTTTGTGTATTACTAGTGGGAATATAAAACTACAGAAAATTTTGGTGGCGCATCCAAAAGCTGAACGTAGAATATGATTCTGGAATTCCACTCCTATGTATAAACCCCAAAACTGAAACAATGGACTCAATAGTTGCACAGCAGTGTTCAAAGCAGCATTACTCGCAGTAGCCAAAAGGTAAACGGCCCCAAATGTCCTCGAACAGATGAATGGAGAAAAACATGGCACACACACACAACAACAAAAAAAGGTTAAAACAGTAAACTTTGTTATACTTATTTATTTTTGGTACCGGGGATTGAACTCAGGACCTTGTGCTTGCAAGGCAGGAGGAGGAACCAGAGCTTAATCCCCGGCCCTGTTATACATATTTAACCACAATTTAAAAAAAGGGTCCTCAGTTTCCCCCCAAGAATCTGTAAGAACTTTAGTTTCTCTTTCTTCTTTTATTCTGACTCCAGTAAACAAAGAGGAACAGACTACAAACAGTTTCAATTTACCTATGTCTAAGAGCACCTATCAATGGACTCCTTTTATTAAATAATTACATTATGGAAAAAATTGAGAAAATTAAAGGGTAATAGCAAAACCCCACTATTAATAGAATTTTTTATGTCTCTCTATTCTTTTTTTTTTTTTTTTTTTTGTACTGGGGATCGAACTCAGGTCCTTGAGCTTGCGTAGCAGGTGACGAAACCACTGAGCCAAATCCCCAGCCCTGTCTATTCTTAATACAGAAGTGAACTGTATATCCATAAAAAATTCCTATAGGGGCCAGGGATTTAACTCAGTGGTGCTGCCGCCTGCCCCACAAGTGCAAGGACCCGAGTTCAATCCCCAGTACCAAAAAAAAAAAAAAATTCCTATAGTACTTGCAGCACAGACTAAAAATCAGTATCAATCTGAAGTTACCAATCTGTGTGTCTCACAGATCTGACCTGAAGGCATGCTAGTTCTCTCATTTCTCTTTTTGTTTTCTAAACACAGAACAGTATGACATCATCTACAGCTCCCTCTGCTTTCTGAATAAGAGCACTGCTCTTTCTATTCTCTGGAATATAAGTGGATAGTTCGTTCTTTCCCTTAAAAAGTTACCTGATTACCTAAATTCAGCAAAGCCTTCTCAGTGCTTTGGTGAAAAGCAGCTGAAGGTGCTATGTTAAGATACAGACATGGAGAAAATTTCTTAATTTTTCATTTTACTTAGCTAATTCAGTTTCTTTTGCTTAGAAATCAAAGGGCATACAATATAGATGCACATTACCTCCTTGAGTTTTAGACATATGTTTAATAAACTTAAGAAGTGAAAAAAGCCCCCAAAACCCCAAACTGCAAAACCAACCACAAGAAAAAAACCAAAATAGGTAACTCAAATGAATTTCTTCCCTTACTTCCAATTCACTGTCCTGGGAAGAACTGGCATCAGCTTTCCTCTTGCCCCGGTTCTTGCCAGTCATGTTTTTCCTGGACTGATCATCAGCATCCTTACTTGGTGTAGTCTGGGACAAGGATGGGCTTGTAGAAGGGTCTCCTGGAAAGGAAAAGCAAGACACATTGTCAGCAGTCATAGGCTATGAAAACTAGGGCAGGAAGGGAGTCAATAGGTTTTGTCCTTATGAATTATAATGGATGGATAAAGCTTAGAAAACTAAATTTCATGTAAGCAATTTGGGAATGTAAATCTAGGCACTGAGCATCACCAGTAGCTAACATCATGAAGAGTCATAACCAGACTTTAGCCAAAAAACATTATCTATAAAGTTGTCTTCTGCTCTTTTCCAAATGAGTGAGGTCCAAATGAGTGAGGTCTCATTATGCTGTCTAGGCGTTGGGGGTGTGTGTGCGTGCGTGTGTGTGTGTAGACTGAATCCAGGGAGTCCTGATCTCTAGCCCCAAAAGTCCTCATTTTGGGACAGGGTCTTGTTAAGTTCCTCAGGGTGGCTTTAAACTTGGGATCCTTTGTCTCAGTCTCCAGAGTAGCTGAGCTTACAGGATTATGCCATCATGCTTGGCACAGGCTGCCCCTGAACTAGTGGGTTCAAGTGATCCTCCTGTCTCAGCCTCCCAAGTAGCTTGCACAACCATCATGTGCTACCACATCTGGGTTATGAACTTTTTTTGTTAAGAACAAACAACCATGGGCCGGGGATTTAGCTCAGTGGTTTCGCCGCCTGTTGTGCAAGCGCAAGGACACGAGTTCAATCCCCGGTACCAAAAAAAACACAACCACCCCCTGTCCAAACTGAATCTGTTCAAGCTTCTAGATAACCATGTGTCAACTTGGCACAGCAGACATTGTAGGCCAGGCAATTTTTTTGTTGAGGGGGATGTCTTGCATATAGTAAGGTGTTTAATGAAACAGTATGCTTATCCTCGACTCACTGGGTGCTAGTAGCATTCCCTACCCAGTGCAACAAACAAATAATGTTTCCACACGTTGCCAAATGTCCCCTGGAGGCAAAACTACCTTTAGTTGAAAACCATTACTCTAGATCCAAATTTATTTTAAAAATGCAACAAAAACCCTATAAAGACATAATCAGCAAAATTTAGACTGGGAAACTGTGGGACAGACAATCCAGTTTCTTCAACAAATAAGTTACAAGGGAAAAAAAAGAAGTGGGAATTTATAGGTGAAGAGACATAAAACACAACATACATACCCATTAATCACAGTATATAGACTTTAATTGGATCTGATTTTTCCCCCTCAAATTTATTTATTTATTCACTGACTTTTTTTTTCTGGTACCAGGAATAGAACTTGGGACCTTGCACTTGCGAGGCAGGTGGTGGAACCACTGAGCTAAATCCCTGGCCCTTCACTGGTTTATTTTTAATTGACAAAAACTGTATCATGTACAACATGTTGTTTTGAAATATGGACCCACTGGGGAATGGCTTATATCCAAATTTTAACAAAATGTAAAATGAAAAGCAAAACTCAACATTTATGAGAAAACAATATGAATACTGTTTGGTTTTTCAGACAAGATAACAGTATTGTGGTATGCTAATGAGTACTTATCTTTTAGAGAACAGTGCTTGAAATTTGGGCAGAGAATTAGATTGAATATAGCTGAAACAAGATTGCCTGTATGTGCTGGGGTGGTGGTGCATCCCTGTAATCCCAGCACTCGGCAGGCTGAGGCAAGAGGCCAAGGCCAGCCTGAACTACACAGTGAGACCCTATCTCAAAAAAACCAAAACCAAAACCAAAAAACTGCCTGTAAATTGTTAATTGTTGAAGGTGGATGATGGATATGTAAGGGTTCACTATACTATTGTGACAAGACACCTTGTCACTGTTTTAACGTTATGTAAGTCTGAAGCAATAAACATCTAAGATGCATAAGGACAAACTATATAGAAAACTTTAGTTGACACAGAACTGTTTTTATACGTGCATCATCAATGCAAATAAAGTGCTTTTCTTAAATAACATGATATGATAGCCGACTACCGAATTTTCATTAAATAGATGTATATAAAAAATATGGGTTCAGTGCCTTGCAAGCGTAAGGTCCCGAGTTCGATCTCCGGTACAAAAAAAAATATGTGTACATATTTATTAAATTTGTGTATAAAGCCTTATGTGAAACGTTTTTAACTGGGACATCATAAATGTATCTCAGAGCTGTGGAATCTCCTGAAATTATAGGTTAAATTTTATGACTCTGGAAAAAAAGGACCATAGCTTTCCTCAGAATCTTAAAAGGATTCAAGATATAGAAAGAAGTCTTATCTTGAGGCTCTAGCAGGAGTCCTAAAATATGCCTAGATTAAAACTGAAGTCCTTCAGTTTTTTAGGAAATATGTCCAAATTTGGGTATTTCCTGTAACAGGCATGTTAAAGATACATAAAGGTAGGGTAGGGGTCAGATATACAGTCTTCTCATTGTTAGTACATTGTTAGTACTTTCCTGTTCTCAGCATCAGGTAGACATTCAGCTACCCACAGCCTGCTTCCAAAGTTTAAATGCTCTGAATCAGAGGGGAAGCAAAGAGAATAGTGACAGTGATTTACACCAGAACAAAATCATCCTCACCATCACCTGAAATCACTTGCAGGATGAAGTCCTTTAAACCAGTTTTGTGAGCTGCGGCACTTACCAGAAAGTCTCTGTGTTGCTGGTGCGGATACCATGACACTAGGCTTCTCTGTCTGGTAGGTGGTAGCTGCTAGTGTGGAATTGTGAGCATCACTATTAGTCTGGCCGGTGACTCCAAAGCTGGAGCTGGGGTAGCAGGCCTGGTATTGATTCTGACCAAGAATAGTATATGTGGGATAGTCCTGTAGGCCAAAGGGAATAAGGGAGGAAAAGAAGACTCTTAGAGGATGCCTTCATCTCTCCCTCTTATTCGTAATTATTTTCTTAAATCACTGATTTGACTTAATTACCTATCTAGTAGTCTCCCAATGAAACCAATATTGTCAAAATGCATTGTGTGAAAACTTGAGTCCAGAGGAGATACCTCAGGAGCTATCTTCAGGATGAGGGGCAGCTGGAGGGAAGGGTTGATCGGAATGTTCATTCATCCACATACATACAATATCCTTTTCTCTAATAGGTCTTCCTCCCACCCCCAACTTTTATGCACTGAGTTTCTAAATAAATTTCTGCATAGAATTTTTGATTTTTGTTCTTGGTACCAGAGATCGAACTCAGGACCTTATGCTTGTGTGGCAGGAGGCGGCACCACTGAGATAAATCCCTGGCCCTTGCATAGAATTTCTGAAGGAAAGCTTCTACTCTTTAAGAAATTTATAAATTACTGCTCTAGATAGTAGTAATTCTAAGGACAAATGAACTTAAAAAAGCACATCTCTTAAAGTTTCCTAGTTTGGAGACTGATATTCATCTCTTCTCTCTCTTTTCTCTTTCTCTGATGGAGACTGAACTCAGGCTTTGTACACTTCAGCCAAGCACTCTACCAGTGAATTACATTTCCAGCCCCACCCCCATACCAGGAACTGAACTCAGAACCTTGCACTTGCCAGGCAGGCATGGCGCCATTGAGCTACATCCCCAGCCTATTATTATTAATTTTGGGGGGTACTGGGGATTGAACTCGGGTCCTTGTGCTTGCGCAGCAGGCGGCGAAACCACTGAGTTAAATCCCCGGCCCTCAGCCTATTTTTTTAAATCAAGTTTTCTTTAAAATTGAAGTTTCCTTAAAATATTGGGAAGAAACTTTTGGTAGTTTCATGAGCACAAATATGCCAAAGCTTACCAAATTATATAATTTAAATCTGTGTGGTTTTTTTTTGTATGCCAATTACATCTTAATAGAGCTATAAAATAAAATTAAATATGACACAGATCAAATATATACCTTTCAAAAAGTGACAAGCAGAAACCAGGAAGACGACAGCTTCCAGGCCAAATCTTTGTACAGTCATTGAGCACCTATTATAAATCAAATATAACTGTGTGTGTGTGTGGTGTGTTTGTATGTGTGTGTATACTTGTGCATGGGCAGAACACAGGAACATTAAAAAAAAGAAGTTACTTTAGCAGAACTCAAAGAAACTGAAAATCTAGCAGGAAAGATGAAAAACTTCCATCAAATTTATAACAGATTACACGTTAAATGAGTGAAATACAAAGTAAGATGATTATCATTATGGATGGTAATGATGAGAGTGCTTTCTGAGATTAATTTATAAGGGAGGTATTATGGTTTAGATCTAAAATGTCTCCCCAGGGCCGGGGATTTAGCTCAGTGGTGCCACCGCCTGCTTTGCAAGCGCAAGGTCCTGAGTTTGATCCCCAGTTCCAAAAAAAAAAAAAAAATGTCTCCCCTAAGTCGCATATTCAGAGGTGGGGCCTGGTTGGGAGCGGCAGGTCACTGGGGGTCATGGCTTTTAAGCATTTATGATCATCCTCAGTGGCTCCCTTCTCTCTCTACATCGTGGTACCATGCAGTAAACAGATTTCCTCTGCCATGCTGTTTCTGCCTTAGAGCTGGGTAACCATGCACTGAATCTATTGTAACTATGAATGGAAATAAACCGCTCTTCCTTAAGTTACAGGTGTTGGGTATTTTGTCCCAGCAACTAGAAAGTGACTAATGCAGGAGGCAAGACCAAGAATAGGCCCTGCAAAGGTTTTATTAAAGGGCCATGGATGCTCATTCTGGTTAAAACAATGGATCCTTATAGGTCTGAATGACTAGTTCAGCAATATGACTTACATACTTTAGGCAATACTGTATAGCTTGTATGGGCTAGAAAATGGGGATAAAAACATGAAAAGTCTGATCAGGTGAATGACTTGATAAAATGTGGCATTTATGCTAGGGTGTAGTGGTGCACACCTGTAATTCCAACACTATGGGGGGCTGAGGCAAGAGGATTACAAATTCAAGCCCCGCTGAGGCAACTTAGTGAGACACTGCCTCAGCGAGGCAGAAAAGGACTAGAGATATAGCTCAGTGTGAGGGCCCTGGTTCAATCCCCAGTAAAACACACACACGCACGCACACATGCAAACACAGGCTCTAGTTTTAGATATACTGAACTTAGAGAAATAGTGGGGAATTAAAGAAAAAGTATTCCTCACTTAGCTAGAGGCCTGTAAACATCATGAGGTCAAGATCAGACTCTTTACCCTAGAGGCTATAAATGGACACTGTGTGATGGTTAAACATCCTGAGACTGAAGTTATTATGACATGGAAAACTAAATAGAGACTGTCCATGTCAGAAGACAAGATCAAAAAGAAGAAACATGAATGGGAAAAGAGAAAAGTTCTTATGAGAGTGCTAGGTACAAAGTTAGGACCTCAATAAATATTTGTGAACTAAAAGAACAAATACAAGAATAGTGAAACACAGAAAATGAACAATAGTAATGTTAACTGCAGCCAGAAAGAAAGATCTATGGAGACAGTGGTGATAATATTAATTGCTATAGAGAGAATAACACATAAAAACAATAAAAACAAAAAACTCTATTAAACCACACACTGAACAAATGGACTTAAAATATATCTACAGTGTTTCGTCCAACAATGACAGATACACATTCTTCTCAACAGACCACAGAACTTTTTCCAAAACAGACCACATCTTAGGTCATAAAGGATACTTAAGTAAATACAAAAGAATTGAAACAATTCCCTGCATACAATCGGATCATAGCAGAAGGAAGCTAGAAATCAACAGAAAGAAAGTCACAGAAACTATGCAAAAAGAAAAATAAATCCCTAATCTTTGTGCTGCTTGTATTCTAATGGGGGCAAGGTAGAGGATAGAAAGAAATATACCAGATAAAGTGGCAAGACATAGCCATATTCCAAAGAGGCTTAGTAAGGAACAAAAGAAACTGGATGGCAGTCTGAGAAGCCATCTAGGGTTGTAGTTCTGAGGGTATCCAGAAAAAGAGCACATAGTCTACACCATTCCTGATTATTTCTTATATGACCATGGGAAGAAGACAGCAAGCTGGATGAACCAAAGCAAACAGGGTAAACAAAAGAAGCACACTACCTGGTTTGAGATGCTGGCGACTGCTGCTGCTGGAATATTGGCAATTGTGGAGGAAGTGGAGATCAGGCTGGCATTTGTGCTTGAAGCTATAGGATGGAAAGGGTTAAGAGATTAGCTAAAGATACTATGTAAAAGGCTAGAAGATAGTGAAAATATATTGCCCTAAGTGAACATATCTATAAGGAGATAAAGAACATTGATAAAGGAAACAAATACTTGTTTTGATTTTTGCATGCCATGCCCCCTCAAATTAGACTTGCTTAAAAACAAACACTCCAGATGTCTGTTTCAACTTGAGTCTTCAACTCTTCCTATTAAAGTCCTAGGATACATATACAGTTCATAGCTCATACTAATGATACCAATGAAATCAGAACTAAACAAAATCATTCCATTCCATCTTCTCTAGAAGCTGAAAAATGACTCACCTGCAATGTGATCTACTGACAATCAATCAATAGAGCAACTGGTATATCCTATCTAGTGTTATTGTTTATTATCACTTGCCCCAAATTATGCCCTTCCTGATACAACCTAAGTACTTTGAGAAAAAGAGATAGTTTTCCAAATTCTTTTTTTTTGGTACCGGGGATCGAACTCTGGTCCTTACGCATGCGCAGGAGGCAGCGAAACAGCTGAGCTAAATCCTTGGGCTCAGTTTTCCAAATTCTAAAATGCTTGTAATTGCTTCTTGGGCTCTACACATATAATAGATTATTACTGGATAACATCATGATCTAGTACAATGGTGTGAGCATATGCCATGTGTGCCTGCAGCAGGCTGTTTATATCACTGAAAGCTCTAAAAGATTCGCCATCACTGATCTAGTATGTAGGGATTTTATCAATTAACATGCAAAAATGCAAAAACTCAGAAAATATTACATATATTCTCGTCAGGTAAAAATATACATATAGCTAGTTGGGCTGCCTACCTTAAGATGAGGAATTTGAATTAAGTTTTTATCTTTCAATCACAGATTTCACCAGGGTTTTACCTGGTGAAAATACCAGTGACTAGTAAATATTGCCAGAATTTTTTTCAGGTAGGCAATGTAACTGATATTAGTTTTGAACGCCTCTCTCATTTATCATAAACACACTCAGACACGGCTTCTACTATAGTCATACAGTCCCAGAGTGTTCACCAGTAGACAGACCTGATTAGCTGAGTACCTACTCCATTACTAACAAAGCCTTTCTGGGGAAAGTCAGTAAGAAAATCTCCAGTAAGACCAGAACTGGAGAAAAAAATGCAACACAGAGTGCACTGGTCAAAATGAAAGACAGCAGTTTGGTGCTCTGCTTAGAAGACAGTTTAGAAGAAATTAAGGTCAGTTACTGCTACTGGTGTAAGTCTTGGCTGGAACAATGAAGAGTTTAACTTCTTCAGAGGCACAAGCTAGTGGCAGATAATGAAGATGACAACTTGGATCTCCAAATGCTTTATCCAATGCTTTTCCTAAATCAGTGGCTGACCTAGGGATCATTTTCTGACTACCTAGGTGGTATGGTATTAAAGGACTCTTAAGAATGTACTTTTTTTTTTTGGTGTCAGGGATCAAACTCAGGACCTTGTGCTTGCGAGGCAGGTGGTGGCACCACTGAGCTAAATCCCTGGCCCAAGAATGCATTTTCTTAAATAAAATTAAATGAAACCATTTTTTTTGGGGGGGTACTGGGGATTGAACACCAGACCTTGTGCTTGTGGAGCAGGTGGTGGAACCACTGCACTAAATCCCCAGCCTAATGAAACCAATTTTATAACCTTACAGATAGTATGTTTTTCCTCCATCAGTATTTATCATCTTTTCTATTGTAACTTAACCTATTCTTTTTCCTAAGATGAAATACCCAAAATAATGGCAGTACATAGGGTAGATGGCTCTGTAAGCAGTTTTTTTTTCATTGCTGTTTGTTTATTTATTTATTTATTTAGAGACAGGGTTTCACTATGTAGTTCAGGCTGGCCTTGAACTTGCAGCCATCCTCCTGCCTCAGCCTCCTGAGTGCTGGAATTATAGGTGTGAACCACCCCATCCAGCTTTAATCATTCTTCTGGGAAAAGATGTTTGACTAGTTCCCAGGTTCTATACCAGTGCATTATACTAAACAGGCCTGCAATTAAACAGACTGAACAGAGGTGACTTAAGACAGGAACAAAAATAAAGAACTTCCTTATCTTTCTCAGAAAAGCCCATTTCTACATCAATTTTCGATTGACCCTGGATCTGATATATGCTCATTTCCTCTTAGTATTTTAATTCTGTAAAATTTCTCAATAATTTACTAGTGGCTAGAGGGTCACCTCTATCATATCTGATTTCTACATACGCAGGAGGAAATGTATCCTAAGTGGTTTTAGAATTTAACAATCTTCAGACCCCTTACTAAACTGGGACAGTAGTAAAAAAGACTTTACCAACAATTGGCCATGTACTCCATTACCACTGCTAGAAAGTCTAATGAACTGATTAACTAGCTGATAATTGAGTTTTAAACAAGTATACTACAAATCACAAATTTCTTTCACCAACATGGCTCAGAAGATCTTGGCCTAATGACTCAGAGTTCACAGAGCTCAACAGTATTTCTTTCTGCAACTCAACCAAATCATTTCTAACAGGTATCTTTCATTCACTGAGCAAAACAGTCAGTATATCAAGATCTAGTATATGCCTAGAAACTGTTCCAGACACTGAAAATTAGAAGAATGAGCAAGACAAAATTTTAAATTCTAGTGAGGGAAGTTTGTCAATAATTAATTAAGTCATAATTTTTAGGCTCCTTTATCACTGAACCCAAGTTAAATTCACCTAAAAATACAGATGAACACAGTTTACCTTACTTCATCCACAACTATGACTAAAAGGCCAAGAATTAAAAAAAAAAAGTGCTATCATTCTGCATATATGTGCAGGTCTGAAAAACAATATTCAATTGCAGATTTAAAAAAACAAAAGCAAAGCAGCAGCAATGAAACATGTAACAAAAAGTACACATTTACAAAATCAAATAAAATTTAACTGGTAGTTCATTATATATCTAAAGGTTGTTAAATCTCTAAATGAGAATAACATGGCCAACTGTTTTCTGACAATCCTCACACCTGTTCTGACAAGAGAGCTGTGAAATCACTGACTAGAAATTTATAAGAGACATGCCCTCCTAGTCAACCTAATATCATCAACTAATAGAAATAACCATGGACACAGTGACTTCTAGTCAAAGAAAATAGTACATAAATGGAAAATGAGTAACTTTACAATGGAAAAACTCATAATACTACTTCAGCCAGATGACCAAGGCAGCATCAATAGTCATAAATCAAGAAGACTGCATGCCTACCAGACATGATGGGACAAAAAACCTTTCACTCTGTGATCTTCATGAAAAAAACATCAGACAAATTCCAGTGGAGGAGTACCTTATAATATACCTAATACTGCTCAAAACTCCCAAGGTTACAAAAAATATGGGTGTATGAGGAACTGCAATGTCTAGAGGAGCCTAAGGAGATATGACAATTAAATCTAATGTACCCTAGGTGGGATCTTGGTACACAAAAAGGACATCAGGTAAAGGCTAAGGAAATCTGAATATACAAATAGACTTAGCTAATAACAATAATATTGGTCCATTCATTCTAACAAATGTCAAATAACATTTTTTTTTTTTTTGAGACAGGGTCTCCCTTTGTAGTTCAGGCTGGCCCTGAGCTCATTATGTAGCTCAGGCTGGCCTCGAACTCCCACTATCCTCCTGCCTCTGCCTCCCAAGTGCTGGGATTACAGGCGTGAGCCACCACGCCAGGCTTCCATTCTAACAAATGTAACATACTATTTAAGATGTTAATAATAGGGAAACTTCATGGGTATGTGGGAGAATATATGAGAAATCTAGGTGCTAATTTTTCTATAAACCTAAAAAATGATATGCTAAAAAAATATATATATTAATTTAAAACAAAACAAAATTTTCTAGTCAATGAAAGACTACTATGTGTTAACAATACTGGAACCCAAAGACATTAATTAAAAATTAAAATTGAGTTAACATTAATTTTGAAATTCTGCCACTTGAATATTATTTAATCAATTGGACTATCTCAACTGAAGAAAATGAACAATTCAAAGCCACATATTTACCAGATACTCTAGGAAAAGTGATATAAAGAAATCAGATCTTACCACTACACTGGGAGTTACAAGAAAAAAAGAAGTCAGATATATTTATTCAAAGAATTTTCATAAGCATACAAGAGCAATCCTTTCTCCTTACAGTACCACTGAGGTATAAAGTAAAGGTTTTGATTAGAGTTAAACCAGAAGCAGAATTTGGCTTCTGAAATAATTTTGCTAACTTCCCCAGGGAAGATGGGGCGTTGTCAATTGTCGTATGGTCAGGGTTGGGCTGAGTGGATATTGCTATCCTGACCACTTAAAACAAAACAAAACCAAATAGCACACACACACCAATACACTGCACCTTTTTTTTTTCATTCTATGGAATGACTGGAATAAAGAAGCAGCCCTGGCCAGGCATGCATACCTGTAATCCTAGCACTTGGGAGGCTGAGGCAGGAGGATCACTTGAGCTCAAGGCTGCCTAGCCAACACAGTGAGACTGTATCTCAAGAAAAGGGGAGGAGGAAGGAGAAAGTGGGGGGCAGAGTGGAAAAAAACAAAGTCACACTCTTGAGTTTTTCTCTAATTTGTTCCCATCTTAGAAATAAAGGCAGTAATAGAACATAAGAAAAGGAGACAGACTTGGTAAACAGGAGGCAAAGGTAACTTGGATAAGGATCGTGAGAATACAGTTCTGCTCCCAGTAGACCAAGCAGTAGCTCCCCCAAATTTAACTGAGAACAGTTAAAATTGAAAATAAAAATATTTGTTTTTTGTATATCAAAAATTTTCTCATCACCTGTTCATTATCTTAAGAACCTCACACAGATTTTGTATATCCCATTCTCATCCCTCTAGTGCCTATTTTATAAGAAATAAAATTTTAAAGCTGGGATAAAGGGGAAAAAAAGCTAGGAGAAATCAGCAGAAAGAAGCCAGGTGAAAAGGCAGGTATAGGGTCAGCAGTTTCCAGTCTGAGGCAATGGTAAACAGTCTACACTGGATTTGGTAAGCAATTGATTCCATCCTGCCTTTCGAGTTGTCTTTTTTCCTGATAGTCCTGATACAATCCTAACCTTTTAGGAAACTTGGGAAGATAATGTTATTTAGAGTCTGAGTTTAATGCTACGCTTTTCATGCTGAAATACAAACAATAATGAACTTTTTGAGCAAGAGAAATGCCCTAAGAAGTACCGTAGTAAAAGGGGGTACAAGGCAACAAACCCACAGTAGAAAAGCACACACACCTTCCAATGCCACCTTGATAGTTCACATAAAAGAAGCCTGCAAAATTCTCACTCATTGTAGTCTTCTGCTTACTTACAGGACAAAATACCTTTAAGAGATATCAGCACCAACATGCAAAAAGGAAAGCTTTAACTCTATATTAAGCAGCTCACATTCAAAGGCTAAAGCTACTTGCAAATCACACTCTTTGGTTCTGGATTACCTAACACAAAAAGCATGCACAAATGCAAATACCACTGCTTTCTATATTTTAGAAGACAGTACTCCTGTATTATCCAATTTGTTTGGAGATACAGGTAAATTAAAAACAAACAAAAAACTCAATAATAATTAAATAACACACAAACACAACCATGCCTATTTACCTTGAATGGGGTAAGAATAATGTGCTGGGCTGGGCTGGCTTGTGGTTAACCCTGTAGTGCAGGTAAGAACACTGTGTTGACTTGGAGATGGAGTCTGAATTAAACCACTTTCAGGTTTCATACCTGGCCACAATGCACCTGAATCAGATAAATTGGACCAATTACAAACAATACACTGAGACTGAGGAGCATGGTTATGCTTTCAAATATCAGCCAGTAGGTTTAAAACCTAAATCTTAAAACAAAAATAAATTTGCTTGTAAGAGAAAATTATTGATTTTCCCATTTGTAATATACCACAAGCAAATACACTTTCAAAGAATTAGGAGATGGGACCATAGAAACAAAATTTTTGCTAACAATCCCAACAGCAGTATGTATATAAATTCATTTCAGTGGCTGGGGGTAACTGACCAGTGTTCAGAAAAAGTTACTGACACCAAACTGGAGTATTTGTCATAAAGAGTATCTGATGTTCATATACAGTGATAAATCATTTATCCAAACTGTCAAGGTGGGAGATACTCCGCATAAGTTTAAAATTCACTTACCCATCAAACAAGTTCCTTATTTTTCTAACGTGTTAAATTCTTCTGCTCATTTGTTTGTTTAAGACGGGGTCTCACTCTGTAGTTCAGGCTAGCCTTGAACTTATTATGTAGCCCCAGCCAGCTACAGCCTCCCGAGGGCTGGGATTATAGCCACACACCACCATGCCCGGCTAAATTCTTCTTTTTCTTGAGGTGATTATTTTGTAACTAACTTTTGTTTCTCTGTCTGTGTGTCTCTCTGCAGCACCCAGGACTTTCACAATGAGCTACATCACAGGTCCTCCTCACCCCTTTGGAGACAGGGTCTCACTAAGTTGGTAAATTGCCCAGGATGGTCTCCAATTTGCCAGCCTCGCCTCCGCCTCCCAGAATGCTGGGATTATAGGCATGGGTCACCATGCCTGGCTTGTTTCTTCTGATTAGGGAAGACATGCCTTATTTTTAGAAATTAAAAATACTACAGAAATATATAACTTAGGAAAAAAAGTCACATATGCTTTTATCATCCAGACTTAACTACCATTAACAGTTTGTAAAAGAGTTACCCAGATATTTTCTATGCTTTTTTTTGTTTTTTGAGTCAGGGTCTCACTATGTAGTTCATGGGGGCCTTGAACTCACTATGTAGTCCAGGCTGGCCTTGAACTCATGGCAATCCTCCTGCTTCAGACTCCGGAGTGCTGGGATTACAAGCATACACCAATACACCCGGCTGATCTTCATTTTTAATAAAAATGGGATGTTATACAAACTATTCACAATTTACTTTCTGACATACTACCTCTGAGACATCATTCCATGTCAGAACATATAAATTCATCTTATGCTGATAGACAACATAACTGCTCACTTTTATTTTTATCATAAGGCACTTGACTGACAATCTTCCTAAAATACATTTATATCCTACCTTCCTAGCAGGGAGAAAATAGTGAACCTTGACATTTTCTCGGAACTTTTTTTTTTTGGTACTGGGATCGAACTCAGGACCTTGCTCTTGTAAGGCAGGCAGCAGAACCACTGAGCTAAATACCCAGCCTCTCAGAACTATTTTTAAAAGTCAAACTGTGCTCAGCCCTCAAGTGAGCATATATATACACATACACACACACACTCACACACCACAAAGACACTTGTAGAGGCTATTGTGATATGTGAAGACAATTGTTTGGTTGAACTCATGGTTCTATGATTTTTACGTTCTTAATGATGTGTCACTTTTTCTTTTTTTTTTTTTTTTTGTACCAGGGATCGAACTTGGGACCTTGCACTTGCGAGGCAGGTGCAGGAACCACTGAGCTAAATCCCTGGGCCCCCTATGTGTCACTTCTTTACAATCACTCATCTTAATTGTACCTCCCCTTTTAACTTAACAATGAACTAGGAAATTGAGAAGAAAGCTTCTGCAGGAGATCCTAAGGATATTCTTTGTGAGTAAAGTACTCAAACAAATAGTTTTGGCAATCATTTCAGCTATGCAAAAGCTTGTTTTTTTAAATAAAAACAGGCTTCCTGGTTTTCAGTGTGCTGTGAATACAGATGGATGCTGGACCAGTGTACTCAAAATTGATAAAGGTTTAAGAAAGTTCATCATTAAACACATTCCATGTACAAACACAGTACTAAGGTTAGTCATGGCTTCAAAATCAATATTAATTCATTTCATTTGCTCCTAATTTGATAAGAAACCTATAGTCAATTAATACATGCGATACTTTCTTTCTTTTTTTTTTTTTGATACCAGGGATCAAACTCCGGCCCTTGCACTTTTGAGGCAGGTGGTGGAACCACTGAGCTAAATCCCTGGCCCCCATGCAATACTTTCATAATGATGACTTTTGCTTCAGCAAGGCACTAAGATACCTTAGTGCAATTCAGATTTGTCAAATCTGTTGAAAAGTAAAGTAAGAATAGCAAAGAGTTATGACCACTGAACAAGGTAACTGCTTTGTCTCAAACTCTTAAAGCATAAAAGAGAAAAATGTAATAGTTTTTTTTGTTGTTGTTTTTTGCTTTTTTGAGACAGGGTCTCAACACGTAGCCCAGGCTGGCCTCAAATTCATGGCAATCCTCCTGCCTCTGTCTCCTGAGTGCTGGCTCTTTTCTTATCTATCGATCACATGAAATAACTTACTTAAGGAGACAGAGGGATATTAGTGTCTCTTAGCATGAATTAGGAGGACTGTACCCTCTATTTAGTTCATGATCCTTTGTCCAGGTTAACCAGTGCTAAGGTACTTGCTATGTTTAAATTTCAATGACAAAAATATTTGAGAATATTAATTTTTAAATATTTATGATGCTATGTCATCATTCTTGGTGGTTATTTACCAGATATTTGGTAAGCAAAGTACCTTTTATTTTTTTTCACTGGATCTACCACACTTCATTTTAAAATTTCCTTGTCCACTTAGAAAATGACTTCAACACAGATTTCATTGTGTACTACTGGTATTAAAACATTGACACCTGGGCCAGGGATTTAACTCTGGTTTTGCCGCTTGCTGCGCAAGGGGAAGGACCTGAGTTCGATCCCTCGTACCAAAAAAACCAAAACAAAACATTGACACACCAAGCAAACAAATTAGCATTTAAATGTCACAATAACATCCAGATTTATTGTAATCAATGCAATTTCTTCTTCCAAATAGGTTTTGAACCCAAGGTACTGGATTTGTGAACATATTTATTATTTGGCTGTACTACAGCAATTATCTCATAACAATAGTATCAAATGAGAAGGATTTGTTAGTCATTATTTAATATACATTTTGATGCCGGGTGTGGTAGTGTGTGCCTGTAATCTCAGTACTCAGGAGGCTGAGGCAGGTGGACCATTGCGAGTTCACTGCCAGCCTGGGCTCTATAGCGAGTTCAAGACCAGCCTGAACCACACAGCAAGACCCTGTCTCAAAAAAGCAAAACAAGGGGCCAGAGATTTAGCTCAGTGGTTCCGGCGCCTGCCTCGCAAGCACAAGGTCCCAAGTTCAATCCCTGGTACCCAAAAAACAAACAAAACACATTTGAAAGCTTCAAACTGTAAAATATCTCTTAAGCAGGTTCTTCTTAGAAGGTCAAAAGTTAAGATCTCTCTTATAAGGGCAAAAATTGTCCAAAATAAGTAGAAGAATAACTAGTTTTGAACATTTTTGGCAAGAAACACAAAGATATTTTATATATAATTATTTTTAAGGAATAAAAGAATATGAACATTGCCTCCAGCATCACTGTAGCCTTAATTTTAAGGAACATAGAAATATCTTTCTCTAAAGTCACTCTGCCCAGAACTTCAGATAACACGCAACATGACCAAATGGGTTGACTCTCCAGCTCACAGCAAACGAGGAAACCAAACTCTGATTTCCTGACTCATAATCTAATGCTCTATGTATAACTACTAAAGATTTTCTAGCACTTTTAGGTCCCAGGAGCCTGCTGTGGCAAGACTACTGACTAACAATAGGAAAGAAAGTCTGCCCGAGTACAGTATTTCTCTCCTGCTCCCCTGGAGTGGGGTCTTATCAGAAACTCCACCATTCTCACCAAACTAATCTGATCATTCAGTTTATAGTAACACCTATCAGAATAGTGGATCTTTAGAGACTGAATAGACTAGGAACTGAAGTGCATACCAATGCTAGAAAAAAATACATGAAAAAGTATCTTGGGTGACTGACTAGCTCATTCAGATGAGCTATTATATACACTAAGCTTAATCTGAGTACTACACCTAATTATAAAAGAAGGAGATGTACACTACAGAAAATTAGGAAAATACAGAAAGTATAAAGAAACTTAAAAATCACATACTTTCACCACACAGAAAAAAAGTATAGCAGTTCTCACTTTTGCATGGGACTTTGTTAACTGAAACCTTTGCATAAGGGAACTACATCTTTGTTTGGAGTTCCTTGGTAACTGACATGAAGTCTATAGAGCCTATACTGTTAAAATCCACAGTGCTTTCCTTCAAAATTATTTTCTATGCACATATTTGTAAAAATACTAAATTGATACTATATTATGTTTTCAGTTCCACACAGTTTTTTCAATTAATAATGTTTTCTAAAGACCCCAAATATTTTTTAAGAATATCATTTATAGCTGGGAGCGATGGCACATGCCTGTAATCACAGCAACGAGGAAGACTGAGGCAAGAAAATTATAAGTTTGAGTCCCACCTGGACAGTTCAGTGAGGCCCTGTATCAAAATAAAAAATAAAAAAAGAACGTAGCTCAGTGTTGAGCATTCCTGCATTCTATCCTCGTACTACCAAAAAAAAAAAGAATATTATATAGAATGGCTAGAGTTCTAGGATGCACTGAAATTTAACACATACCTTTCTATTCCATATGTACGTTGTTTCCAATATTTTGCTATTATAAATAATGCTGCAATGAATAGCTTGGTTAGTAAATGTTTAATCTCTAATTAGTTCCAAAGGATAAATTCCCAGAAGTGAAATTACCGAGAAAAAGTGGAATGAATCAACCTTAAGGCTCTTACATATTCCCAAATAAAATGAATCAGAACAGCAGCAGCTAAAGGCATAGTGTATAAGCCCCTATGAATAAATGAACATCCTTTTCCTCACACACATTCCTTCAGATTTCTACAAGTTACACCTCTAATCTCCATTTTCTATGTATCTCCAGAAAGAATATGATTATTCCTAATATACCCTTCTTTTCCTAGATTTCTAGTCTTTCGACTTTAAAAGGAGGAATCTTTTAAATTTCAAACTCAAATCTGAGACCATCTTTTTTTTTTTTTTAGTTTCTGCAAATTTATTAAATTTACGTGTTTAATCTTCTCTTCAATGAGCATCCATCCACCTGACTTTATAAGGGCAAGCTGTGTGCCCACCAATGCCATAAACTCCTTAAAGACTTCAGAATAACAAGGTTTACCTCCACTTTCCCAATTGTGAGTTCTTTCAAGAGATGAAGTTCAGCCTTACTACATTGTCCAGGCTGATCTTGAAGTAGGGTTCAAGTCATCATTGAGACCATCTTTTTAAAATAGAACTAAATTTATGAGACTCTATAATTAAACAGACCTAGGTTCAATTCTAATTCCAGGCATTTACTAATTGTATGATTCTGGGTTAGTGATTTAATAAAGCCTCAGTTTCTCCACTTATAAAAGGGGACAGTACTACTTACTAAGGCTGACCTGAAAATTGAGAGACAATAATAGGAAGGGTGAAGTACTTATTCTTACTTAGCATATTACTTAGTATAGTAAGCATTCAATAAATATATTAATAAAATGAAAATTTTTGAAGCCCTAAGTACACCTGAAATAAAATAGACTAGTTAATCTGAAAATAGGCAGCACTATGATAAAAAAATCTTGATTTCAAAAGAAAGAAATCAAGTGTTTTCTTATATCAAAGTGAACACAATACTCAAAAAAGTCACATGTTAAAACCCAAGAAAACACCTTTTTGCCAGGTATTTAGCTCAGTGGCACCATGCCTGCCTTGCAAGAACAAGGTCCTGAGTTTGATCCCCAGCACAAAAAAAAAACCAAAACATCTTTTAAAGATATAGTAACCTTAAAAAGGTCACTATAACCTCAAGAAGGTTACTGTAACGTCTCCATAAAAATGTGAGAATAGGGCTAGGGATTTAGCTCAGTGGCGTCACTGCTTGCCTTGAAAGCGCAAGGTCCCAAGTTCTATTCCCGGTACCAAAAAAAAAAAATGTAAGAATACAATCAAATCTGTCATTCACTTTATCCCAAACTCTCTCTAGTAAGTTTTATATATTAAAGTCAAATTAAGCTAATGATTACCTGTCTCTCAATTACTGACAGAACAATTTGTCTTGCAAAAGAAGTCTTTCTTACCCCAAATATTAAACAAAAATAGATTACGGAAGCATGTTATTATAATTTTTTTCCAAAGTACAAACAATGTTTCCTGCAGGTTTTAAACAGAGATCTTTTTACTTTACAGAGTTTTGTTTCTTTTTTAGCACAATTAAATGTAACTGTCATAAAGACCTCACAATACCTAGGACTATATATACATGACAGTGTGTTAAATATTTCATAAACTGAGCTCACAGACAACAGAAATTTTATTTAGTATTCAACAGCAGGAATAATCTCCTGTTTAACAATGATACAAAGGACTTGTGGTTGTTGTCCCCCCGCAGCCCCGTACCAGGGATCAAACTCAGGACCTTGGGCTTGCTGGCAGGCACCGAGCCACTGAGCTACATCCCCTGTTGTTTTTGAGAAAGAGTCTTGCTCTGTAATTCAGGTTGGCCTTGAACTCACTATATAGCCCAGACTGGCCTTAAACTTCCAGTAATCCTCCTACCTCTGCCTCCAGAGTTCTGGGATTACAGGTGTGGACCACCACACCTGGCTTCAGATAGTTCTTCTGCCAAATGGATTATTCAGAGTTGACTGGTTAAATATATCACAAAAGTGCATACTTGCAATCCCAGCACTCTGGGAGGCTGAGGCAGAGGCTTGCAAGTTTGAGCCCAGTCAGGGTAAATCAGTGGCTTAGCAAGACCCTGACTCAAAAAAGAAAGAAAATAAAAGGAGGAGGAGGCTGGGGATATAGTTCAGTGGGGATATAGGTTCAATCCCTAGTACTGACAAAAAATTTACCTTAAAGTTTTGTTTTTTACATTTACCAGGACCCAAAGAATGCTAACAAGACTAAAAGTAAGAAAGCTGTCACTGACAAAAAAAAAAGATTAGTCAAATGGATCAGGAAAAACAGAAATGTAAAAATCAAAAGAAGGCAACACTAATAATATAAAATCTATGGGCCAGGGATTTAGCTCAGTGGTACTGTGCTTGCCTTGCAAGTGCAAGGTCCTGAGTTTGATCTCTGGTACCAAAAAAAAAAATCTATGTGTGTGGTGACTTCTTTGGAAATTTTTCCTAATTCTTAGTTTATTTAAATGAAATCTACAAAGATATAATTTTATTCACAGATTGCATATATTAAAATAATACAGTATTTTGTCAATTTCTTTTTTTTGGTACCGGGGATTGAACTCAGGACCTTGCACTTGCGAGGCAGGGGGCAGAACCACTGAGCTAAATCCCTGGCCCATTTTGTCAATTGTTTGATAGGAGTACTAAGAGAACACAGAAGGGGCAGTAAAATATACTGCATATATCTATCAATTTATACACACATAGAAAAAAATCCATAAATATTAAGTGCTCAAAGAACTTCAAACTAATTTCAGGTAAATCACTGAGTTATAGTTCATGTCTAAGATACCTAAAACTAACAAAAATAACTTCCTATGCATGTGATAAAGATATAGAAAGGTGAGGATTTTCTATATTCTAAGATGACTTTTTGGTTCAGCATAATGTTTAATCAGTTTTGGGTAGAGGTGGGGGAGAGAAGAAAAGAAGAAATTGGCCAAAACAAAAACAACCCCCCAAACCCCACAGTGTAAGCTATGAGGCATATCTTATCTAGAAACTTAGTTGATTTGGTTTTTGCAGAAATTGGCCACCTCAAAGTATATTTATTATGCCTACTTAACCATGGTACCATCATGTCACACATTAAGTAAAAGCAATAGTAATTCCTCAAAGAATTTTCCATACTTTTTCAGGCTTCAGGGTCAAGACCTTAGAAACAGCTAAATTTTGAAGGATAAGCAATGAGTACTGAAAGCTATGATTTTATGATGCGCTTCATATGATACTGCAAAGTTGTACACTCAAATTCCATCACACACATCACTGAATGCATCTTTCAGCTTCCAGATCAGCCATGCTAGCCTCCTGGGGAAAGAGAAGTTTTGGGGGGATCAAAGCAACATTCTTGGAAACTGCTTACAATACGGTGCCTTACCAAAAGGAGGTAGTCCATACGTTTGTGTTGCCTGAGGGTAGACAGCATAGGGTTGAGGCTGCTGTAGTGTCTGGTACTGAGTCTGCCCAGGGTAAGCAGTTTCCGAAACAGGAACTGAGAGGATATGTGCATAAGGTCTAGAAAAATTCAAGAAAACAAAAAACTTTCACATGTGACTTATTTTAGTAAAAAATAAGTAAATAGCTAATACCACTAAAAGCAAAGAATCAGGAATAGGAGAACAATCTTCCACATAATATGCCTCTTACTATGTTCAGAAAGCAGAAGCCTCTTTTTCTTTTCAGGTTCCACTATCATCTACCCAAGGAATAATTTTATGGAAAATTTAATAATTTCAAATATCCTCCCAAGTTTCAAACATCTATAATGTGCTATAAGCAAGGCCCTATGTGAAACACAAAGATTAAATTTATTGGGCTGGGGATTTAGCTCAGTGGTTCTGCCGCCTGCCTTGCAAGTGCAGGGACCGGAGTTCGATCCCCAGTACAAAAAAAAAAAAAAAAAAGATTAAATTTATTTATGCCCTTATATCTACATATAGAATAAAACTAAAATAACAAAAAACTGGATAGAACAGAAATAGCTCTCATTCTCCATCCAGCCTCCTGGGCAAAACTACATGCTCTGAAAAAGAAAATGTAACTGGGAAAAGAGAATAGAACTGGTAGAGAAAAGACAGGCAACTACACCAGAAAACAGCAGGTAGGGTGGGCCCCAATATCCTCAAATCAAGACTATAAAATAGGAATCAAGGTAACTATCCAAATCTAGGAAGTCCCAGACATGTCACAATCTTCCCACTGATATTTAAATCAGCACATAGGGCCACTAATTGGTGTCAACCACATTAGGGATTTGAATTCAGCAGTGAAACCCTCAGGACTTTACACTGGCTAGCCGACCTGGTCATTTCACCCATACTATTGCATGAAACATTTAAATACCAGTTATTTTATCCGGTATAAAAGTGCTTATGTGTAATATAAAGCATAAGAACAAAATGCAGAGTGGAGGGTAGTGTTTTAACAGGAAAAAAGTTTTTCCTTGCCTGCCTCACAAGCTCAAGGACCCGAATTCAATCCCCGGTACCAAAAAAAAAAAAAAAGAGTTTTTCCACTCCTCCAGCTTTGGGGGAAAAGGACAGTAAAAGATGGCTACCAGGAAGTGGTATGTAACCCAAGCACACAGGGTAGACACAGTCAAGAAAAGGTATTCTGGGACAAGAAAAGGGCCCTGGCAAAGGTGCAGAGGAAGGCAAACAAGGGCTTCAGCTTTCAAGGAATAAACATTAAGGCAGGTATATATTATTTTGGTACTGGGGATCAAACTTGGGGCCTTGTGCTTGTGGTAGCAAGTGAAAGACAGAAAGATAGCAAAACCCCTTAATGCTAGGGCCAGGGATTTAGCTCAGTGGTTTCACCGCCTGCTGTGCAAGCACAAGGACCCGAGTTCGACCCCTGGTACCAAAAAAAACAAAAACAAAAAAACCCCTTAATGCTAGCCTAAAAGTTCACACAAATCCGAAACAACTGGGAGGTGCTGAAATTGTTGAGCTAAGAATGACAAGATTAGAGGTATTTTTAATAAAGATTAATTTGGCATGGCTGTCTAAAATTAATTAGCGGGCCAGGGATGTAGCTCAGTGGTGCCCCCCTGCCTGGCAAGTGCAAAGTCCTGAGTTCAATTCCCCATACACCCCCCCACAAAAGGGTGTGGTGGCACAAGTCTGTAATCCTAGCATTTGGGAGGCTGAGGCAGGAGGATCACCAAGAGTTTAAAGCCAGTCTGAACTATATAGCCAGATCCTGTCTCCAAGAGAAAAAAAAAAAAGATTAGAAGGAGGTGAAAGTGGAATAGAGATGCAGTTAAAAATGGATTACAGGGCCAGGGATTTAGCTCAGTGGTTTCGCAGCCTGCCTTGCAAGTGCAAGGTTCAAAACAACAAAAAAAAGGATTACAAGGGCCAGAGATGTAGCTCAGCAGTGTAGTGCTTGCCTGGAAAACAAGGCCCTCAGTTCAATTCCTGGGGGTGGGGAGAGGCTTATAACATGGTGGCTCCAGTAAGTAGAAAGGAAGTCTGAAGCAAGACAAAAGTAATAGCTAACAGAATGCCTTCAGTGTAGTGGATATGCAAATACTTTGTTGCATATTCCAAATTCACTGTGCAACATATTCATACCTCAGTAGATTCTAAGAGACTGTATTTTTAAAATTTTAATTAAAAAAATTTCATAACAAGAGAATAACAAAACCAAAGTAGTTACTCAGAGTACAAGGCAGAGACAGAGACTATATTTGTAGCTACATCGAAATCCAGAAAATAGTCCAAGTTATAGTTGTTACTCAAGTCACATGGGAATAATTTGAAATATTAGTGGATCTCAAATGTCTCAATTTCCAGATATGACAAAGATCACAGGTTAGTATCTAATTTCTTCATAATGATTTCAGAGAATAGCTTTAGTCATTTCACAGAAGAAAACCACATGAAAATGACTGGCCCAATGCTGGAATTAGTGTTAGTACCAGATCAGAATTTGGAAAACTCATTAAATTGACTTTTTAATTAGCTCATTTTTTAACTAATGCAAAATTCAAAAGGTTCAAATGGAAAGGCACAAGAGGAAAAAAATGCCAACTTTTTTTGTAACAGCCTCATAGGCATCTCTCACCTCCATTACCAATTTCTTTACATATCTTGCACTTGTAAGCACATAAGAATATATCCTGGTTTATAAGCACACCTGTATATACGTATGTATGGATATGCCTACTCTTCATTAACATGCAGTTGATAACTTAGTACACATGTTCTACACCTACCCATCTTGGAAATTACTAACTTGGTTGGTCATAAATGCTGATCTTACCCTGGAAAGGCCCAAAACTTTATCTCTCAGTGACTTCAACCTACCAACCTGTCTAACTTCAGGCCCAACTCTTACTCTGGGGACATTCCTCAAATGTGAAACTGAACACAGATCAGGCTGAGAAGTTCCAGTCTGGGGCTGGGTTGTGCTGTTATTATTAATATATATATATCAAGGTAAAGAGAGAATGATCATAGGTCAATCAGTAATATGCTTTGATCACTAACATTACATTTTCCATGGCTCTCAGAGTGGGATCCTGTGTAACAAGCAACTATTTACATTTTAAAAAGATGATACGTGGACTACATTTAGAGGGAATAAAAAACTGGAGTAGGGACAGAGAGAATAAGAGAAGTGAAAATAAGTTAAATATCAAATTAAATTTTGTGACAAAAAGAATATACATACTATAGAAAAAGTATACAAATTTCAGAAATAATTATTCAACTTACTTTGCAGAATACATTTGTGAGGTATAATCATTGGATGAGCGAGGGATGTAATCGGTGCACGTCATAACTGAAAGACAGATAATAAAAGTAAAAAAGTTAGAACATTTTCAAAATGAAATGGAAAAATTGCATGTGACTGTATGGTCTCTCAAACTAAACAACAGACTATAGCTTGGAGACCAGAAAGTTTGAAAGATCATGTAATAGAAAATACCTCACTTTTGTGTTTATAGATTTGTTTACAGACTTTGAGAGACAGTACGAGAAGCAAGAATGTGGGGATTATGAAAAAGAGTCAACAGCTGGTACCAAGTGATCTCTACCTTCACTCACCAATGATCTAAATCATAGATGAAGCAACCTCCTAAGCTTTCCACTGTGCTCACTGGAAAACTTAAAAAGCAGTATTCGTATCTAGGAAACCACATTATGCTTCTCCACCTTACTTATTCTCTTACTCTATTTCTTAGTACAAGGCCATAAAAATGACTTGTAGGAAGCTAGATTAGGGGGAAGCAACCATTCTTATCAGAAAATGGTTGCTACTGTAGAACAGAGGCAAGTATGCTTCTGTACTATATTCTGTGATCTGTAACAAAAGCTTGTTTTAAGTCTGGCAAAGCAGAGACAGACTTGAGGAATTGGTGTAATGCTCTGATGAATCTGCAAATAGAGTGACTTTTCCAGCTAATGTCCCCTTGATCCCCATGACCTTTTCTGAAAACAGCTGCTGTAAACTCTTGATTTTCATAATTTCTGGGATAAATGCTGTAAATATTTGAGTCAAGCTTGACAGGTAACTAAATTCTGCTTATTGGGCACGAATTTAGACCAGGTTGTAGACAGAGTTACATCATAAAGTGCTTTCAGTAGACTCTTGCATTGTTCAAGAACTTCCTCTAGGGCCAGGGATTTAGCTCAGTGGCACTGCACCTGGCTTGCAAGTGCAAGGTCCTGAGTTCAATCTTTGGTACCAAAAAAAAAAGAACTTTCTCTAACATCCATAAAAGCAGCTACTGTGAACAGAGACTAAAGGTGATTCAACCAACTTTCTGTCTTGCTAGATTCCCTGAAAAAGTGCCTGATCCAGGGCAGGGCATGGTGGTGGATGCCTGTAATCCCAGCACTCCGGAGGATGAGGCAGGAGGATCCCTACAAATTCGAGACCAGCCTAGGCTACATAGTGACTTCAAGGCCAGTCTGAACCACACAGTGAGACCCAGTCTCAAACAAACAAACAAGTGCCTGACCCCAAAAAAGGAAGCCCTGGTCAAGATCAGGTGAGGGGCCAATTCATATCCAAAAGAAGACAAATCATCATCTGTGAGTTTATCACAGAGGATCTTGTTCAATGCCACTGTCTGAGGTTTTTAAAAATAATTATTGGAAACTTGAACATGACATTCATCTATAAACATTTTTGACAAAAATGAAGATCTCAATTAGATCTGAAGTTTTACTACACATCACACAGAAGGTAAGGAATGTTCATTCAAATTCTGCAAATTCTGCAGGTTCCTTCTCTGCTGATAGGTACTTTATAAAACACAAACCCTTATCTTTCTCCAATTTAACTTAATTCAAAAAGAACAACAAAACATCCCAGGAGACTTGGGCCAATTTTTATTTTTCCAGATAATGAATAAGCCTTGATCCTGGTAACATTTGGGAACCACAAAAGAGTTATAGAGTCAAATACAACTAACAGGACATCTGATGGATGTGGATATAAGCAATGTGCAAAACAGGGAAATGAGAGGATGATTTCTAAGTTTTTCTAGGAGCAACTGGAGAATAGTAATATCACTTTCTAAAATGGCCAACATTTAGGGAATAGATATGATGGAATAAAAAACTTAAGACATTTTAAGTATGATTTTCCTTTCACATACATAGAGATTTCAAAGGGGCAACTGGATATACAAATGAAATCAAAGGAGAGGCCAGAGTGGAAATATAAATTTGGGATTCATTAACAATGTACAGAATATTTAAAATAATGTAATGGAGAAGAGGCTCCCAAAAGGGAAAAGATGGTAGCTTAGAAGCAAGCCCTGAGGTTTACCAACATTCAAAATTCAGCTAGAGGAAGGAAGGCTGATCAAAGGAGAAAAGTAGGAGGAAACATAGCGAGAGGGAGAATATGAGGAAAGAGAAATGTCTACCGGTCCTGGCAGTATGAAAGTAGATGATGACAAGAACAGTTTCAACAGAAGAGTGGAGTGACAGAACTAAATGTGACAGAATCTGAAGTCAATGGAAGGTGAGAAAGCAAGAGGGCAACTCCTTTTCAGAGGTTCTGATGTGTGCTGCAATAGAGAAAAAGTCTGCAGCATAAGATGTGGAGCCAAAAGGAGCTCTTATTTGTATTTGACGATGGCAGACCCTCCCCATCCTTTATTGACAGGAAGGATTTAAGAAGAGAATAATGTGATGAGGAGTAGTAGTGACAGGATAACTATACTGCCAAAGTTCTAGCAGAAGAGAGAATAGGATATGTAATGCAAATATAAGTATTTAAAATATGACAGGAACAAGAATATCTTTTCCATTCTAACAAGAAGGAAACAAGAAAACATGGATACAAACACCAGCAGGTTTGAAGATGTAGTGATGGTAGGATGACAACAGCTACCTGTCTGAGAGCTTTTATTTAAGAAGTCATCATCCACTGACAGTGAGGAAAAGTGAGCTGAGTATTGGTGCTTTGAGAGAAGAGGTGGTATAAAATATTAAAAGGCAAAACTAATGAGAGAAGTGTAGGATTTTTAAGTATACTATGGGTCCACTTAAGGCCCTGTGACTATGACTAGGGTATAAGTAGTCAATTAGTTATATAATTCTATTTAATAATGTTTAATTACTTATATACATTTACAGGGAAGGTACACAACCAGGTTAAATTAGGGCTGGGGGTTACGAAGGAGAATATGAGGGATATTAAATGTATTTATTACTGCAAATATTTGTAAGAGAGTAATTATAATAAAGGGCCAGAAAATCTATGCTGAGTAAGAAGGAAAAATGAAGATAAGAGAAATATGATAGGTACTGGATAAGTTATCTACATGAATGTTAAAATCACAAAGAACTGTAAGAGTTTGGATGAAGAAAACAGAAGATCTAATTTTTAAAGAATAGAATGACTTTTACTCTAAGTAGTTCACCCTAAGGTAATAAGGAAAGACAGGGAAAGTACAGATACAGACTTCACAGGAACTAGAGTTTTTGAAGAAAAAGGAGGAGAAAATTATTTGGAAGGATTGAGAATACTCAACTTACTTCTTGGACCTATGTAAGTATGTATGTATATATGTAAATAAAGTATGAGATTTTAGAGTACCGGCCTTTTTGCAGGGGGTGGTGTATTTGCATGCAAGTGTGTGTGTGTGTAAGTGGGACACTCAGGACTCAGGAGATACTACACTGATTAGAGCGGTTTCCCACAGTATGAAGTTTCCCATATGTACTAGACTCATCTACTGGTACTAACATCATAAAAATGCAGATTCCCCACCTATATCAGATCTATTGAATAATAATCTCTGAAGGCTTTCTGTCTCATGCTCCTGGCCCAGCAGAAGGGGCTTCCAGGCCACCATCCGTCCAGCCACCATCCGTCCAGCCACTCCCAGCCCAGAGGAAAGGGCTTTTGGGCCACCATCCATCCCACTGCTCCCAGCCCAGAGGAGAGGGCTTCCGGGCCACCATCCCTACCGCCGCTCCCAGCCCCTGTCCCACCTCTCTCAGCTGAGAGGAGGTGAGCCACGTGGGTGCCAACAGCAACCCCCTGCCCCCCGAGTCGAAATGAGAAAACACTACGTAAGTCTTAAAACCAGACTTCCAGATCACCTATAGCAATCCCAAAGGGAAATGAGATGGTACACTCTGATACTCAACCACCTGGACCCACTGAACTGG